TCTTTGAACATTTCTTATACATAATCATGCATAACATATTTACATATATATACATATACTACATGCTACTACTACAATACGTACATACTATATATATATATAGAACTGATGTACAAGCCTATATATATATATAAACTATATATATATACAAACGATTTGTGTATTAGTAAAGCCCGAGCCCGCCCAATTCAAGAAAAAAAAAAAAAAAAACGAAAAAAGAAAACTTAGTAAAAGAGAAATGAAAGATTGGAAAATATGTTGTTGATTCCTTCTACTACTCGCTCGTCGTATTGCCAATTTCCTATTTATTATAATAAGCTGTAATTTCGTTTGTAACTCGATTAGTTACCATATTCAATACTCTCTCAATGTGTTAAGACAACAAATGAGCATTACTTAAAGTAAAAACAATAAATTTGTTTTGTTTTTTTTTTTTTTTTTTATTTTATTGCTTCAGTTTGTTTTTTAGCTTGTTTTGCAAGAATGTACTATTATATATATGTTTATTGTTTGTATTACTTGGAGACTTGTATTAATTGTATGTATTTTGAAACAAAGCAAAACCAAAAATATTGAAATCTTTGCTACACACACACACACACACACACACACACACACACACCACACACAGCACACATCGCACACACATGCTGCAAGCACAAAATTTATATGCAGGTGTATTAGTTATAAATTATATACTATATGCCCTATGCCATTCTATTTGTTGTACCAATTTATAGTTTCACCAAAAAATGTATTCAACGTCGAAAGTACAAAACTGAGAACTACAAAAAAAAAAAAAAAAAACGACAACAGCATTTGCCACACACACACAACGTACACACACACACACGAATACTACATATGTATAATACCCTGTATAATCTTTTTATATTTTTTAACTGGTACGTGCAAATCTAAGAAGACATTTTTAATATACTTATATATACATACATATATTTATATATATATATGTATATGTATATTTATTATTATTATAATTTTTGCAGCTTTGTTGTTGTTGTTTCAAATTTTGTCGTTTGCGTAAAAAGAAATAGAAAGCAACAAAAACAATTGAACAAAAAGAACAAAACCGAAATGATAAACAGATATGCCATCTTTTGCTTCCAAATAATTACATTATAATTATGTTTAAAAACAACAAAATAAAAGAGAAAACAAATTACTTGAAAAGTAAAATTGATGTTTATTTCACACAAAATTACTAATAACAAAAAATAAAAAAAAACACATCACATGTTTAATTTAAATTAATTGTTATGCATAAAATTTATATATAAAATTTATTTATATATTAAATAAAATGATAAAACACTCGAAAGGTCGATAGTTGAGGACGCAACATATCAGCTCAACCGTACTATAAAACCCAAACTCTTGGGTTTTGGGATTTGAATAATAAAAAAAATAAAATAAAAATATGATTTAGTCGTAAGCATCAGCAACTTGTTTAACAACAAATAAAACGAGGCTTGGCATGATGAATGTATTGTACGATCTAACCAAAAAACAAAAAAAAAAAAAACCATACAAATGCTTGCACAAATTTCCAATCGCTTGCTTTTATTTTTGCAACAAATAAGAAACAAACAAAAAAAAAAAAAACAAGAACGAAAAATAAGTAAAACATAGAAAATGTTAAAACTATCTCTGATGTAAACTGTGATAATTAAATGAAGTTGCAGGGTATTTGATAAAAAAAAAATGAAAACGAAAAAAAGATTAACAGATTTAAGTTCAACAAATTGTGAATTGTAACCTAACCAAGTAAAACCCATTTTGTTGGCCTTTACACACACACACACACACACACACACACACATGCACACGCACACCATTTCATATACAAACAAAAATGAACCATAAATCCATTCAAATGAACTAAAACAAACAGCAATAAGAGTACAGCAATAATGTCCCATTGAAGAAGTCTATTATTATGATGTCTAGAAACCGCATTCGGATTTAAATCTCTACTCTAAATAGAATCTGTAAATCGATTTGTAAACTATATATGTAATATGCATAAGTGTAATACCAAAAATTGATTATGTTTTTGTCTTCCCTCCCCGGCCCAAAACCAAAGCTTTATGTTTTCTCTAATAACCAAGAACCGAGTCCTTCCCTCGTGCATATGCCTTACCTAATTATTGCATATATTGTAAACTTCAATGAAAAACTTTCGAATTCAATCGGAAAGGGTTAACATGGAAAACGTGTAGTTGATAAAGCGGAAGCATTGTTGTAAACCTTATAAGTAGAGATAGTTTTACTAACATACTGTGTGTCTTTTAAATCTTAAGCAAGCATTCACCTTGGACAAGCTCTACGATACAATGAAAAGTATTCAGAGCTGATTTACTAAAAAAACTAAAATAAAGTCAAGAAAATGTAGACAAAGTCTTGTGCGCAGCTTTAAGCAATTTGTTAAAGTGCAAACAAATTGAAACTAAACAATAAGCAAAAAAAAAAAGGAAAAAAAAAGAATATTAATTAATTACCAAACGTCCAATGTTTTGCATGCGATCCATGCATAAACAAAACTAACAACAATTGTGAACATTAAAGTCTTCAAAAACAGTTTTGAGATCTGCTACTAAACGACACTTATACTCGTGCATACACCTACATATTAATATTATTAATATATATACACATATATGTAAACAAATTAAGAGTGAAAAACGAAAAACAAAAAAACAATTTGTACTTTATAACTTGACGTACATTTTTGTCTGTGTGTGTTCAGCAGTTCAGTATTTCAATTAAGCCAAGTTAATAAAATCCAAAAAGTACTAAAGCCCAGGTTTCCCATTGAAAACCAAAAAAAAAAAAAATAATAATAAATATTAAATATTAATAATTTATAAATCATAAGCGTAGTTGCAGGAAAAGAGCATTAGCAAAATTATAAAAGCTTCAAGAAATTCTTAACTCTTTAATTCTTAAAAGATGAACAACCAGCGGGAACAACAACGATGAGCACGCAACTGTAATACAACCAAAACTTCATATATATACTATATACGAGTAAATTTTACATACAAACCCCCCTCCCCAAATAAAATATATATAATACATGCGTACATTTATTAAAGTAACTGTAATAAATGTTGTTAATACAGCCCTCTAATTCCATAATAATAATATGTTAAAAATTGACAAAACGAAAAAAAAAACAAGAAAATAATGCTAATTAGTGAATAGTCATAAACCGAACCCAAGTGTGCTTCATGTAAGAATTTATGTTACGATTTTTACAATGCAATAAATATTCCAATATTCCTCCCCTCATAAGCTAGTATGTACTACATATATATATATACATATGTATGTATTCCTAATTAAATGTCTTAATTAAGTATTTACGATCGGTGTCTATGTAAACCCCATTTAACGAGTAGAGACTTCAAAGCCAACACAAACGTATCGTCAAATATCCAAAATAAGTATAAAACAAAATTAGCTAAAACTGGCATACATATATATACATATATATATATATATCGATAACGGTTTAACTATATATAAGTGCTTCAGTGATAAATGTTACACACACCCAAACACACACCCATACACACACCGTATTTGTATTATCATTCATGCTGCTAAGTTTCTGTGCTAGAAAAAAAAAAGGAAAAAAAACAAAAACGAGAAACACAAAAACTACTTGAAACAACCCCCAAGGGACACTCTGGAATAGATATTCCTTGAGGTAGTGCCTTACAATTTAAAATAATTTTGTTTAAACTTTCAAAGACAAAAACAAAAACAACAATGAAATGATATGTACTAGTTCCATTATCGAGAAACCACAATATATAGTTAACTTTATGCTCCGATCTATACTACATACATAACTATATTTAATATTATATACTCTTAACTTACCGTCGCATTTTATTTACCATATATATAGTATATTCTATGTAAATCTTGTATTTTTGACATGTTTTGCTCAACAGTTTTCTACCTGCACATACAACACACACAAACACACACACACACACAAACACACACACACACACATGCATACATACATATATGTATACATAGTTAAGTACGATCTGCTTTGGCACAGCTAAATACATCATGTGATTGATTGCTTTGCTGTACCCCGTCAAATGTCTGAATGCCAAGTGGTAGAGAGAGAGAGAGAGAGAGAGAGAGAGAGAAAGTTAGAGAGTATTCAATTTGAAAATCCTAAATGTATTCATCTATTTATGTACACACTCACATATACATCATTATATGTACATGTGAGCGAGTATTAGCGTTTATTATCGAACAAAAAATTCGATTTGTGCATTATTCGATGAAAATGCACCTTTGATTACGTATTTAAAATTGAATTGAATAAAGCGATTAAACAATTTGATTCATTTAGTGAGTCCTATTTGTATGTATTGTTTCCACATGTTAAATTTGTTGGTATTTTTTAAGCTCTTTATGCCGATTTACAAACATGCAACGGTTATCTATATATTCTTTATATATCTGAATGTATTTATATTTAAATATCGATCGAATCGAATCCCCGCGTTTGAATAATTCTTTCGATATTTTCTAGCTGTCAACGGCTCTTTTTTTTCACCTAAATATTTGGGAATAGACAAATTGATATTTATTATAAATCTTAGCCAAGACAAAATCGGAATTATCCCGATTATTACCCATGTTTTTTATACCAAACGTTGGTTAAGTTTATCATCCCACCTTTCTGCAAATTAAAATAAAACGTATTTTTGAATACTGCCCTTCTTTGCGATTCTCATAACCCTCTAACCCTCTGGGCACTGATTGCTAGTAATTTAAAGTTTGGAATACCATAAAAAACGAATCGTATATTTTATATTTGACTCTGGTTTTGTACAGGATTCAAATCCCAATATAAAATTGACCACATTTCCTCTTCCGATTTTCTGCTCGTCTTATCACAGCCTTAAAGTATAGGTATATAAATAATCTCTGGCCCACCCTCAGCTATGGCTGGACATTCCACCGCCTGTCGCAGCTGTTGTGGCTGTTGTTGTTGCTGTTGTTGTGCTGCTTGTGGCATGTCGCGTCTCCATGTGCCGCTGCAGATCTCTGGCCCGGGCGAGCGTCTTGTGGCAAATCTGGCACTGATAGCCCAGCTCCGGCTCCGGTTCGTCCCCAGCGATATTGCCGCTGGGCTGCGTCTGGAGATGGAGTCGCACGTGCTTGTTGAGATTGCTGGGATCACCGAAGGGACGCAGACAGAACTTGCACTTGAGCGGCTTGAAGCCTGTGTGTGTGCGTATGTGTATCTTGAGGCCATACTTGCGGGAGTAGACCTTGCCGCAGTAAATGCACAGATGACCCTGCTTCGAGGCGCCCATATTGCTGACTATGGCCTCGATCTGGGCGGCCGCGTTCATCGGATGCGCGGACAGCGGTGCGCCCATACCCATGCCGGGCAGGTATGCGGCGAGTGCGCCCGCTGGCGGCGCCTGTGAGGGCAGCGGCAGCGACTGCAAGGCGGCGGCCATGGGTCTAAAGGCAGAAAAGCGGGTGGGCGGCGGCGGCGAACGATTGGGCGAGGCCGACGACGTGGATGAGGTTGCCGGCGTGGGCGACAATGTCATGCTGGTGCTGGGCGCACGTGCCGCCGACTTCAGAGCATAGTGCAAACGCATCCAGAGCAGATCCATAACGCTGCGGCCGCAGCCGAGGGCCAGATGTATCTTGAGCGGATGCGGCGTCTCGAAGGTCAAATGGCACAGGTGGCAGGTGTAGCGATTATTGCCTAATCAAGAAGAAATCTTCAATTAGTTTTGGGAAGAAAGGTTTGACTTCTGTCTGAGTCGACTCACCCTGTATGTTGAGCGGCGTGAGGAAGGGTATGCCCATGAGCAGCACCAGCTCCTCGCCGAACCAGGCCACAATCTCATCCTCGCGCGCCACATCCCGCACCAGACGTATCCGCAACTGTCCCGCATGCAGCTCGAACAGCGCATTGAAGCTGTAAATGTCCTCGGAGAGCTTGATCTGACGCAGCAGCGTCGCGGACAGTGCCAGCTCCCCATTAACCAGGCTGCAGTGGACACGGGCATCGCTGGGCGCCGCCGTGCCCATCGAGCTGAGCAGCGCAGTTGTTGGCACGCCACACGAGCACGTGTCCTTCGGCGTGTACTGGGCCGTATAAACGCCCGGCCGCAAGCTGCTCCGCGCGCGCTTAGCCGGAGCTTGGGCGGAGCTTGTTGTTGCTGCTGTTCCTGTTCCAGTTGTTGTTGTTGCTGTTGTTGTTGTGCCGCCCGGGAGCAGCTGTTCGATGCGAAAGATCATGCTCGTGGCGCGCTTCTGGCCCTGTGCCGCCGTCGTCTCGTCCAGCTCCAGATTATCGAATTGGGCCGTCGTGTGCATCGCTCGCGTTCGTCTACGATTATGCGTTCCAATTGGAACTTGCGCGCTGCTTTTATACTGGCGTGCAGCCTCCCTTGCGTCCTGTTTCGGATTTGTTACGGCTTGCAGTGTCAAAACATTGGCACATTGGCGTCAAGTGCAAGAATTCCCAGCCAGCCTGGGTCTCGTGCCGACACTGCTACGCACTTTGCAACCGTCTCGCTCGCTCGCACCAGCCCGACCGGCCGGGCATCCCTTTTGCCTGGTGTTGGTCCTGGTCCCGGTCCCGGTCCTGGTTGCTGCGCGGCAAGTGCAACATCATGTACTCTGGCGCTAAAGCACTAAGCACCAGGGCTAAGCGGGCCCCTGTAGCAAGTGTGCGTATTCCTTTGCCTAATCCTCTCACACCCGATGCCCGGCTATGCCCGGGCACCCTCGCGTCCTCTTTTTTTGGCTTTTGGGCGAATGTTTTTAATTGAAATTAAACGATCGTTTGTTGTCCTTGTTCCTATTGTTGTTGTTGTTGTTGTTATTGTAATGCCACCATATACAAATCGCATTCGCATCCTCTCTCTCCCCCTTGTGCTGACCCCGCTGCTGCCGACCCTTCCACCCTCATTGATAATGCCTTAATATATTGGTGTGTATCGTTTTACTATTTGTGGTTTAGGGTGGGTCGTGATTTTCGCCAGCCTGAGCGGTCTGCGGGATAAAGCGGGCCGCAGGGTGCACGAAATTCAAAGTTCGATTTTCTGTAGAAGTTCTTACTGAAAACGGAAAGTCGCTTTTATTTAGATAAAATTTTATTTTTTGTGTAGCTCTCGACTGTTGATTTGATTGAGGGATTCATTAGTATGAATAACAAAATAATATAATAATATAAAATAAAAAAGTATAATAAATTATGATATTAGTAATAAATAATATTTTTGAAAACCTATAAGTTCGAAACCCCGGCTAGACTATGGGAAGTTGTAGAGATGAGATGTTCTAAAGTCTGTGCTATTTAAAAAGCAAATTTAACTTTAAATAAATTCTTAAAGAAGCACAAAGTCAAGGGTTCAAGTTTTCGAGAGGAAGCAATACAGAATGTGCATACAAACTCTCCAGTAGGTTAAAATGTTGATCTATGTCTGTAGGCAGTCTGCCTTGCGAGCCTGAGAAGTCGCTACTTCTAATTTATATTTAATTTTAATTCACTGAAAATAAGTTTGGGATACTTTCCGATCGGTCTGATATCAGGCAACTTCTGTCAGCATTCTATATATTCTTTTTATGCATTTACTCAGTGCAAGAACAAGCGCCCCGCATATTGCTTGGGCCCAACTCGCACACATTGCGAGTACGCTTCTGTGCTACGTAAAATATGCTACAACACTTAATGTTTTCATCATTGCAAAGCCAGCAACCCCGCCGCTAATATGAGGCTATGCGATCAACAGGACAACAGGCGAAAAACATGTGTTGCCAGTCACACAGTCACAGACGCGGAGGGTTGCCTTTGCCAGGGGGCAGGGTTGAGCAGCCCTTAAGTAAGGCAGAGGCAAAGACAAAGGCAGGGAAATAGACACCTGGCTCAAGCCAATTTCAGTTTGGTGTTTGCTTGTTTAAAATAAGTGGGCCAAGACCTGTTGTTGAAAGCCGCGTTTATTGCCATTTATTTTTCTTTGCCATTTTTAATTACTTTCTGCGATAGACATAGCCGCCGCCGCCGCCACCTGCTCCGCCTCCTCCTTGGTCATCGCAATCATGACAGCCGCCGCTGGCGGCCAGCTTATCAAGTGCCTCCTGTATCTCGACGGGTATGGGCGGCGGCGTGGGCAGATGATCGCCCTGCGGCTGGAAACCATTCTCGTCCGCAATGTAGGTCAACGAGATGCTCTGACCCTCCGGGCTGCTGTAGGAGAAGGAGCCCTCGGCCACCTGAGCCTCGGCGCCCTCAACACCGGCATTTTTCAAGTAGCCCATCTCCTCGGCCTGTATGCCATTGCCCGTTTCGTATTCATACTGGCAAGGATTGAATAGCTGAGAAGTGCAGAATGTAGAATCCACTTTACTTACCTTGTAGGAGCCATCGGTGTTGACTTTGGATTCAAGCTTGATAATGGGAATGCTTTCACCACCGGAGCCACCAGGTGCACCACCCCCACCACTTGAGGGCGGCAAGTAGTTCTGACTGGGATTAGTCGGTGGCGGTCCATAGCTGTCGCGAGGCGGCGCAGCAGGCGGAGCTGGCGGCTTCCTGGGCGGCGCTCCATAAGTTGGCTTCGGCGCAGGCGCAGCTGGTTGGGGCTTCGGTGCTCCATAACTACTGCTGGGTGGCTTTGGTGCTCCGTAGCTGGTGCTGGGTTGCCGAGGTGCTCCATAGCTGCCGCTGGGTGGTGCAGGCGGTCGTGGGGGCTTGGGAGCTGGTGGACGCGCACTCGGATAACCCGCCGGCTCCGCTGCCACCAGGCTGCCCAAGCCGATGAGCATAAGTATCAATAATGTTCTCCGTACCATTTCGCTTTCTAACTGTTGCGGCTGACCGGTTGACGCTGGCCTTTTATATGGCCAACAATTGCATTTGACCACAACCTGTTGCACCCGGGGGTCAGTCACGTGCGTGGACACAAATTGCATTTGAAAATGAAAACCGAAAACTGGGCCAATGCGAATACACTGCTCGAAATTGCAGAGAGCATTTGTGGCGTGAAAATATATTTAAAAGAAAATCACAAAATTGTGATTGTAGCCTTGTCCGAATATTGTAAATATCGCCCTACTATGCGATTCTCATGAATTCAAGTAAGGCTGATAAGTTTTCAATCTCTGACAATAAGGGCTGGGGGTGGAATATTTTGACTTATGCATATATATACGATATTTTGGGATACTATTTTTATATGAATTTTGACCAAAAATAATGTTGCCAGATTTAGATGCCAAATTGGCCTAGAGGCCAAGAGATGAAAAAAGAGCCAAAACTCGTTAAAATCTGATGAGATTTCAGCAAGTAAGGAGGTTGGGATATGTGTATATATGTATGCATGTATGCATTTATACATGAAATTAAATTTCCGTTGTGCAGCCAATAAAAATAATAAAATAAAATAAAAATTTAAATGCCTTACTATGCGATTCTCATGATTTCACATAAGGCTGGCAGGTTTTCATGCTCTTGTTACAAGTTGCGGGGCTTATTTTTACTCAAATTCTTATTTAAATTTGCTGTATTGCTTATTCCTGCTCTTACTCAACCTAATTACCTCTTTCTTCTTTTTTCTTCCAGGAAAATTGTTGGATGACTGTGGCTGTGTATTTTTGGGTAAGTCCACAAACACATTTTTATATATTATATAATCTTCTACTCAAAAAAATTAAAATTAAGTATAATACTCAAATGAGTATCTGACAATCCAGAAGTCCTCTAGACACTTTACCTTTTTTTTTTTTTGAAGCTAGCTTCTTATCTAAGATGTAGTTTGTGTTACACAAAAATTACAACCCAATTGCTAATTCCAACAAATGATAAAATTCTAATAAATCGAGTTCACAATCCGGACTAGAACTGCAAAATCTTACTGTTCCGCAACTAATCGCTAAAAACAACAAAACCGGCCAGGCCGCAAACAAAACTTTTAATTCAAAGGCAATATTCCGCAAGAGACAGGGTGTGGCAGAGGAGGGGGGCGGGGTGCAGTTAAGGATCAGGCACGGCACAGGCAACACCTGCAGCAGCAACCCCGTGTGTGTGTGTCTGCGCGCACTCATCTAATGCACTTTGCCTGTCCTTGCCCAAAAAAAAAAAAAAAAGAAAGGGGGCTGCTAAGCCCCTGGCGAACAGTGCGGAGTGGTCGGCTTTAGTCAATCGTCTATTAACTTTTTGCCGCCCGGACCACCTTCATCATTTGCCAGCTCAACTTGTGCCGGCTCCGGCTCTGTGATGCCGCTAATATTGTCAGGGTGTGGCGGTCGTCCTGGCATTGAGCCGAGCCTAGCTAATGGCAATGTTGTTGCCAGCTTGTTCTGCTTGTAATGTGCTGGCGCGCAGCTGACGGTTTCCCAGGCTCTGTGGATTTTTGAACCTGTTCGCCAGCGTCAGCTGTTGCCAGTTGCTGCCAAGCAACCACCGAGCAATCAATCCTGGCAATCCAGGCAATCCAAGCCAATCCACCAACTAACCACCACGCACCCGTTTGGCTGGCTCGCACCAAACGCTGCACCGGCTGCCTAAACCAACAATTGTCGCTGCCCGCCTCACCGCCCCTCGATTTTGCCGATATCCATCTCCGCATCCGGTGGTCATTTCGCCACGCACCCATTGCGCATATTTCGCGCCCGCATTTGCCAAACCCACAATACGAAAATCTCAAATTCATAAAGTGCATTTTGACAGAGCGCAACGATCTAATTGCGATTCCTGTCGCTTGTCGACCGCCGAATTAGCCGTAGTCCTTTTGGCTTGGGGTTCTTCAGCCTCAGCCCGGCCCGATTAAGTTCTTCAGCACGCCTAAATAAACATTTAGATGCAGACTCTTTGATAAATTATCCGCAGCCCACATTGACAGCCCGAATAGATGTGCATGTGTTTCTCAATCACGGGAGCCGTAGCAACTGTTGACTATGCTAGTTTCACTAAGCGGGGTTCATCAAAATTTAACTAAAACGAGAAAGTAAGCATATCTTCGGTAAGACGAAGATAAAATACCCTTATGGACTTATGGTCTTGCAGATGTCTGGAAATAGTAAAGCTCTTATATGCTGTTATAAATAGTTTTAAATAGAATATCGTACAGAAACTGCTTGTCGACCGATCGTTTCTATGGCAGCTATATGATATAGTTGTATAATATGACATATGTGCTTCCTGCAAGAGAAAGACGGATATGTATATATTATGGGATCATAGGTGTGTCCTTCTATGCGTTATACATTCAATGGCAAAATTGTAATACCCTCTGCAAGGGTATAATAAAAGTATTATTGTCCTTCTTTGCGATTCTCATCAATTCAAATAAGGCCCGTCTCTCTGGACACAGATTTTGTACTGTTTATTAAAGGTATGGAATTACCGAAACAATATATATATATATATATATGATTAAAATTAATTTCTAGCCATAAGTATGGAGTTAAAAGAGACAACGGAAATACACTTTAAAAAGCTATGTTTTTGTAAAGAAGGAAGCTGTGCATAGGGTATCTTCTAGTCAGGCAACTCTTAACATTTTTTAGAGGCCGTTCTATACTAATTTCGATAGAGACAATTCTTAGATTTTTAGCTTTTGATTTTTCTAGTCTTATGTATTAAATTCTTAAGTCGACCCTCGTTTTGTTGAACCTGAATAAAAAAATATAAATAATTATTGAAAAATACTATTTCGGCTTCAAAGATTGTATTGTACATGGAAAAAATATATGCGTATATTTTCACAAGAAAGAAAAGAAACAAGATAAAAAATGTTTAAACAAAAACATTTTAAATGCAGAATCTGGTTTCTGTTTAATATCATTTTCAAGGCTTCAAAAGTTGATTGGGCTTAGATAATATTGCACCATCTATTAAATTTAGAATTTGAGTTAAAGAACAAAAAGAATGTTTTAATACTTGTGCAAAATTTATTGATTTTATAGAGATGATTTAATTTAAAGTTTAAATACAACAAGAACACGCTTCAAATGTTGTAGTTAGCTTTCTTCACATGTTGTTGTTGTGGTTTTTTTTTTCTGTTTCTGGCTCCGGCTTAGAACAAAAGTTGGGCCATAAACTATGACGCAATCTACGGTTTGACTAAGGCTGGCTGGCCGCTCAGATATTTGTTTTGGTTATCTTTTAGACTTATTTCGGCTGATTTGCTCATCTGAGCCGCTGGCAAAGCCCATCTGGCTTTAGTTGTCATCAAGAAACGCAGACGAGCAGAGGCTAAGCATTAGAAATAGCTCTTAAAATTATTAAAGTAATTAAATATAATTATAATTAAATACAAGTGCAATGAAATTGGTAAGTAAATAAAATTATTAAATTGTGCTTTATTTTTTGTAGCTATTAATTATTATTGATTTGTTCGTGTACAGTTGCCGCTCGGTTTGTTGCTGCTGTCGCTGGCTTTGGCTGCGGCTGTGCCTGTGGAGGATGAGGAACGTGATGAGGAGCTGCATTTTGGGTAAGCTGCACAGATTATATACCCAATATAGCAGCATATTCCTAATATATAGAGCTACTGCTGCCCAGCTTTCAGACAGAGAACGGCTATCAGCGCTCGGAGGATATTACCTACAAGGTCAAAGTGAATCCCGATCTGGAGACAACTGAGCAGCCAAATGGCGAGCAAACCCAAAAGCCTGTGGAATATCGTGGCGGATATAGCTTTATATCAGCGGACGGCTATGAGTACAAGGTGCTCTATAAGGCGAACAAGAACGGCTTTCAGCCCTATGTGACGGCGCACAAGGTGAAAACGGCGCAGGATAAAGCTGAGATAATACTTAAAACTTAATTGTGATCAATTTAAAATAAAAGCATGATAATTAGTCGTAAATCTATATATGTATATAGAGGAGTTTTACTTGACTGGATGATCGGTAATCAGCGCATACTTTAAATTGTAAGCTATAAAGCTGACATTTTAACGGAGGCTTGTCTTTGGATCGAATAATATGAGTTAAGATCAAGTGTTCGGTTGTCAAAATCGTTATTGAGTATCAAAAATTACGTCGATATAATTATATTTTTTACATCATGAGCCCGTTTGCCTTAGGTGTCTCAGCGTTGAACTAGTAAGCGAAAAATCGGCTGTCCAAATTCAGCAGCAATTCATAATTGTGTTACCACTCACAACAAAAAAAGCAATAATAAATAGAAAGATAATAAGACAAGGAAATGGAAAATGAATGTCTTTTAACAATAATAATACTCATTCAATTAGGTTCTTCCTTAATTGTTTTTTTTTTTTTTTTTTTGTTAACTATTGATGGGACAGCTGGAACAAGAATTGCTTTAATATACCCTATTTATTAGATTGCATTTTTACACGGTATTAGAAGCGCGACTTAAAAGCTCGCAATTTGTGGTTGTGGAAAAAGCTAAGCGTAAAGCTTTAAGCATCGCTAAGAGAGCATTTGCTTAATGAATCTGTGATTGGTAAGCTGTTGTCATTGTAGCGGGCATATTGGCTAGGTGAACCTGTTTGTAACTATTGTTTTGGAAAAATATATATGTACCTACAACTCTTCTATATAAATATGTCACATAAAATTCCAATAAATACAATAGCGTATTTTAAGCGCATTAAAGCTTTTACAAAGCTTTCCAAGCACATGCATTTTTCGCATTTATGATCAGCGCGAACTCTGCGCTTTGTTAGGGCATTTGGTGCTTGGGTTAAGCTTAGTTTTTTTGTGTTTTGTTTATGAATGGTTTGTGCTTTGTTTTTGTACAACATGTAAACCCCCCGCATTGCTTATGTGAGGGCATTGAGAGCGTCGGAAAAGCTTTTCTTTGATGTGTTATGTTTTTTAAATGGTTTTTTAACTCAACATGCAGAGTTTGTATGTGATGTATGTTGGCTTTTTGTGAATTTGTTGCTGTTCGTCTTTTGTTTGGTTTTTTCTTTGGCTGCTTTCCTTATGCAAATACAAAAGTAAACTGGACGGCAATGGATGAAGCAATCGTGTTACCAGCACCTCCGGGCTTACTCAGCGCTTTTTTTTTTTTGGCTTTTGGCGTTTGGCCTCGCGTGGCGCATAATGTATGCCCCACGATGATGAGCACCGTTTGGCTTCAATTCACAGCCAGCTGTGAGGGCCGACGGTTGCACCTGTCTGTGGAACACGATGTCAATTATAAGCAGGTGTCTGCTGCTGCTGCTGCTCGCCAGTGTTCTCTGTGGCACAGAGAACGGCGCCAACGCTTCATATGCACCTGGCACCGTGCTGGACATTCAGCTGGGCGATGTGATTATCGAGCAGTTTAGCTATATACCCACGCGTCAGGGCTACGAGTTCGGGTAAGCTGTAGATCTAGACGAAAGTGGAAAGTGTTCTCTGAATTCTGAACTCTTTCAGTTATACACTGCCCAATGGCACACATCGCGATGAGGTGGGCGAGCTGATCAACGATCGCTCCACGCCCGAGGATATACAGAATGCCAACAATTTTCAGAGGAACGCTCGACCCTCGCGTCGTCCGGGTCTCAAGAATCGCAAATTGTCACCGAAATCTCTCTCATCACTGGCTGGCTGAGCTTCTCACCTATTTTTTAGACTTAGCTCAAGGCTAGACTTTGAGGTTTTCCCAGTTTTAGGCAAGTTTGTGTTAATGTTTGTTCTACGTATTAGTTAAGGTGCTTTTTCTATGGTTTCCGAATCGACTTAAATTAAAACTACAAAATGCAATTCAATAAAATATTGAAAGACGATAAACAAAAATGTGCTAGTGTCAATATCTAAAGTAAATCAAGTGCGGATTGTAGTTGGATAATATTTTATTCGAGAAGATCTGTTTACTGAGATAAAAAGTAGACTTTGGTTGTCATTTGGTTAATAAAAATTAATCATCAAAAGAAAAAAATATAAACAAAACAGTTCGAACAACTGATCATAATCCAACTGAAAGCCAACTGGTTAAAAAATGCTTGAGTGAAGTGACTCTTCAAAAATATTTTAAATATATAATTTATCTGTCATATTATTTAGAACCTAATCGGCTTTAATTTACGTGTGTGGCTAAAAGAGTCCGGAAGCAATTAAGAGTTTAGTTGACTTGTCAAACCAAACCAAACAAAATTAATAATTGTAAGTTTGAGTTTAAATGAACTGCGCGTCCAGCACTAATATCTAATATCATACGATTAGACTCGTAAAAATATAAATCGATAAATTAGGAGATTAAAAGATTTGAAAATATTTGATCAACGTGATTTATGTAAGTTATTATTATTTACAAAAATAATAATAATATGATGTAGATTGTTTGTTTGATCCGGGCGACGCCGGGTATTTTTTCTTTTTTGTATTTACAAACATATTATTTTTACGTAAAAACAATCACGGCTTGGCGTCAAGTTATCCCATACTTTGGCGCTGAGCATGATATTCGCATACTTTTTGCTGCATACTCTTGTGCTTGGCATTAAAGCTTATAATTTTTATTGAATTCTTTAAGATTTTTGAACGAAGATTTCTACATTAAATGTGTAGGCACAACCGCAGATTAAATATTTGGAAAATTTGTTATTAAAAAATTCTTATTATTTAGGATTCTATCAGCATTAATTGGATGACAAAAGGCAAGCCTGCTCCTTGATCCTGACTGCTTAAAGAATGTTCGTTTTTTTATAAAACGTTTTATATTAGCAGAACACAAGCTTCTTTTGGATCTGATGTCCAGGTTGTTTGTTAAATTATTTGGTTGAATGCTGAAATTAATTTAAATGCCAAACGATAGTTCTGCTTGCTGGAATTATAACTATAATATGACTATAAATAAAGTGTAGCTTTTACACTCCAGGATCGCCAGGAACAGAACTATCGATTCGCAATCAAATACTTTGGGTTCAAATAGTGATCTGATGACCCTCGGAATAGCAGGACAACTTGAATGTTTAATAGGATTTAATAAATTGGTAGGATTTAATGGAATTGTTATCTTGTAATCCCCGATTTGTGTTCAAAATGACGACACAATAAATTAATTAAATCGATATTTTTTGAAATCGATTTTTATTGAAATTTATTTAATTGATACTTTTCTCCTTTTATCTCTTTCTATCGATAGAACATCTATGTTATCGATATTTATTGAAATCCCTCCTTTTCGATATTTTTTGAAAACTATTATTATCGATATTTATTGAATATGTCTCTGAATCGATATTTCATCAAATCTGCTTTTATTGATATTTCTTAAAATTTCTTTTCATTGATGTATATCTAGCGATTATTTGACTATTAAATTATTATGGGATGTCTGATAGACCAAGATATCTAGATGAACTCTAGATTGGAATATATATATACATGCGAGTCTCACCGATAGCCACTTTTTCGTCCTGCCCAAATTTGACTCTGACTAAAAGTATGCACTTAACGTAGACATTGAATTCGTTTCCAAAAATCTAAAACGAATTACTAATTCGCAGGCTCCTGCGACGACTGCTTCATAAGTCTCAAGTTAATTGAATTATTTTCTGTTGTATTTGCACATGTTGCGTTACTGCGGTTAAGCAATTAAAAAAACCCATAAGGCTCTGTCGATGGCAGCGTGACATTTACATATTGAAATTGCAATACGCACACTTGCTATGTAAATAAACCAATTGACTCGTGCTAGAACGAAGGCAGCGAAGAGTCTGGGGGAGTGTGGGGCGAAAAAAAAAAAAAACTTGGCTTTAAGACATTGCCATTAACGCGCAAGTGCTAATTTAACTGGCCCCTCAAAGACGAGCTGATGCCAAAGCCATACTAAAATAAGAAGTTAAACCGAAAGAAAACCCGAAAGAATTACTGCCTTCGAGAGGCCGAATACTAAGTACTCTACTTAAGTGAGGAATTGGGGTTCTGTGAAGGGAATTGTGAAACGTGCAGAGTTAATTGAAGGTGTCTTGGAAATACCAAAAATACCAAGTATACAGATAATGTGGTCCGACATAGGGACTATAGAGATAGATTTATGTAAAGTTAATTGAGGATAGCTCTAGGACTGAGAGACTAGTTGGCTTAGAAACGAACAGACAGAGGAATCTGGGTATATTGACCCAACTGTTGACTCTTAAAGACATCTTCTTCCATGCGTTACACATGTCATAAGCAAATCTCAATACCCTCTACAAGCGTATAAAAAGATGTCGCCGAACACTCGAAGAACCGGTAGCCCCAACTCTTCGTCTGTCTGACAGTCTGCCCGCCTGGCCGTCTGTCAGAGTCTGGCCAAGATCTGGCAGTGCGTGCGTGCGGGTTGCCAACCAGATAATCAGACGGTGGCGCTGACCTTGAAGATGCGAGCATCTTAATCTTAAGTCTGAAGACGCAACTCGGTATCTCTGTCTGAAAAGGGACAGTGAAGTTCAGATCGAAAGCGGAGACAGGCATAAATATATGTATGTAGAACGCGACGATTATGTAACTTAGTTGCGGCAGAGCTATAAGAATTTGGAAATTTGCCAAACATATAAAGAGAATGTCGAATGAGTTTAATAGCGCTGGATCTGAATCCAGACAAGCGACGCCTTCAATTTGCATAAGCATAAAATGTTCGTATTTGGAATATGCTGACGTCTTTGCGCACAATATATATAGATATATATATATATATGTATACTTATGTATATGTATAATTTAATTTGAAGCAGCGATATATGCATTTTAAATTTAAGTTGTGAATTTTCGGTCATCTTTAGCATTAAACTAGTTTTGCGCTTTTGTTGTCCACATAAAGCGACCATCTGTTTTTTGCTATAAATACGCACACGTTCAGCCCTAAAAAGCATAGTTACCTTTGATATCTCAAACGCACTACACAATATCTAAACATGAAGTTCCTCATCGCCTTCGTCGCCCTTTTCGCCCTGGCCCTGGCAGCGCCACCACAGAATGAAGTTGGAGTAGTGCGTCAAGAATCAGATGTTAGTCCAACTGGCTTCAAATATGCGTAAGTTTTCACAGTCTCCACAGTCATCTCGTCATCTCGCTGATCCTTTAATTTCTCTACTGCAGCCTGGAGCAGACTGATGGTAGCAAGGCTGAGGCCGAGGGTCAGCTGAAGAATTTCGATAAAGAGGAGGCCGCTGTTGTCGTCAGGGGCTCATTCTCCTACGTTGCCCCCGATGATGGTCAGACCTACTCCATCAGCTACATCGCCGATGAGAACGGTTACCAGCCCCAGGGCGCTCATCTGCCCGTTGCCCCCGTTGCCTAAGAAGCGATATTAAATATTAAATAAATTGTTTTCCAAAAAAAAAATTACCATTTGCATTTCTATATGTTAGCCATATTTGATTGTTATCAATTCAGCTACATCACAAGCAATCAAAAGGACATGTCTCGAGGAGTCTGTCTTAGGTCTAACTCAATAGACTTATTATCTGATTATTATCAACTTAGTTAAAACACAGGAGACATTAAGCCAAAAACAAATACTTCACCGAAGTACTTGGCCTAAATCAGAAAACTCTGTGACCTTATTCAGAAAACTCTGTAGCTATACGAACTGAATCTGACGTCTTTTTGAGTATATTAGTAGAAAAGTGAATGAAGCATTGTCGAAATATTAAGAGAGAGAGAGAGAGAGAGAGAGAGAGAAAAATTGTGAAAGAGAGAGACACACACACGCACTCATGCACCTTCACTGTGCATATGAAATTTCCTCTTCACAAAATTCGGTGCTTAAAGTCTGATTCTATAAAGAACTTGGCTTTTCTTATATATGGGCATACAAAGTGTGCTTCTACGTTGCTTAACCCTTACATTTTTCAATATTTTCTTTTTGGGAAAAGTGAAATTATTCAAATCTGTACATATCATACGAAAATCTACATACGAAATTGGGTATATCTAGTTCTTATGACACTATGCCACAGTGTTTTTTTTTTTTTCAAAGAAGATGTCGATCAAATTATATATGCTTTACGAAAATATATATTTCAATTATAAAGCGTCTGCCAACGAACAGACGGAACAAGAATATATATTTATATATATATATATACACATAAATGGGTTCGAGGTTGCTTCCTTCTGCCTGTAACATACGCTTGCACAAAAGCATTATACCCGTTAACAATTTAGTTTTGGGTTCAGGGTATACAAATTTGCAAAATTGCGAAGTTCTTGAACATTTTTTCTGGATATCGTTAAGAAGCAGAAGGTCGTTTAGTATACTTCGAAACTAGTCTTTTTATAACTTGCGGCTTGTGTATATGTTTTAAGTGTTAACTTAAGCACAAGTTGGTAATTAAAAATTAAGAAGACATTCTGAATACGAAACACAATAATGCAGGAAGTAAACTATTTAAAAATTAACTGTCTTATAAAGAGTTAATATGCCAGCTAGTACCGACTAGCTTAATTCAATCATAATTTTACTGCAATTGCAGTCTGTGTAAATGGATGATTGTATTGTGGTCAATGTCAGCTGGAGAATGTCCTGTGCATACACTTAAATGGCTGCCAAAAATTTTGGATATTGGGAAAAGGTCGCCTTAGTTGGCCAAAAACTCGATTGACTGGCTTGCCAATTTGTAGCTGCTTCTTCTGCTGCTGATGCTGCAGCTTCTTTGGCCAGTTGTAGCGGTCAACAAAGGTGGAATAAATTGGAAAAGACAAAAACCAAATGAAGATACGCAAGATGCTGAATACGTGAATAGGTGTATATGGTGAGATCCGCTGCAGTTGCCAGAGACATCAATCGAAGCTGGCTGCAAAGGCCGTTGCATATGTCAAGAGTCAAGCACGTTGCCGGTTTTTCCGATTACCAGTGGACCATACAATCATGCACAGCAGAGCATATAAGTAGAATTATTTCGGACTTGATATGAACTTGCGGCCCTCTGTTAACTGTTGGCCAGCTGCCAGTTAAACAGTTAAGCTGCAACAGCCTCGGCTAAATGCTGATGGGTCAGCAGCTCGACTAAAATTATTAAACACTAAAACACATTGAATATCTAGGTACTTGGGCAATAAACCATCAGCTAGTATGGTGTTTACATATTGTACAAAAGACAAACTATTTACGCATTCATTAAACTGACATTCGGCTACTTAAAGACTACTTCAAAACGAATGCCAGATACACTTTCAGCTTGTGAATTGATTGCTGCATTTTTACACATTTTCTTGCACTTTTTTCCATTAATTCGACAAAGTTCAATGTGATTTATAATAGTTTTTATTTCTAAATAAATAAGAACATTCTTTGGAACTTCTATTGACTCGATGTCTGTCTTGGATGGAAAGGTTTTTGATTTTCATTTTATTTTTAAAGGACTTTAGAATTTATTTTATTTTATTTAATGTATAACAACCAATTTATTGTATTCTCTTTAAATTGACAATTCCCGAGGGAAGTCTAAATCGTGGACTTTTATTAACCTTGACGCATTTGCCTTTCCAGCTCAATCCCTTCATTAGAAGGAAAGTATTGTTATCATAAAATTTGTGCATTTGAATGCAATTTGGCCAAGTGCATCGAATAGTTATTAAGCCAGAATGGGCATTTGGTAATGTCGCCGTCAAAGATTCGCTTTAAATGTTACTTGTCGCAGCGACTTTGAGGCTGGCGGCTATTGGTGAACTGTTGGTAAATTAAATACATTACCGGACGACCGCGAGAGCTGTGTGTCTATGTGTCTATGTGCTTCTGCCGCACAATTGTGCAAAATTTATGACGTTGGCAAAATCTGCGAATGCGGGGTATAAAAATGCAGCGAAGATGCGGCATTGGCAACATTGGACGCTCGATTGTCTCAACGGACAGAACGTAAACACACGAAACGCTCAACAAGATGATGAAAATGGTAAATGGATAACCGATCACCGATAAATGATAAGCGAACACCGATAAACGATGACCGATAACCCGTCAAGAATCAGCTGTTAATTATTTCATTGTATCCTTGAACAGATGCTAGTCGTTGGTTTGCTGCTGCTGGCCGCCGCCTGCTGCACGGCTCGACCCCAGGGCGATGTGGAGGTGGTCGAATACGAGTCGGATAACATTGGCATCGGCGGCTACAAGTTCAGCTATAAGCTCAGCGATGGCACCACACGCACCGAGGAGGCGGTCGTAAACAATGCGGGCACCGAGAACGAATCCTTGTCCGTGCGCGGATCCGTCAGCTGGGTGGCGCCCGATGGACAGACCTATACCATTAACTTTGTCGCCGATGAGAATGGATTCCAGCCGGAGGGTGCGCACATACCCAAGTAATACACACACAAACTGGATAACCGATGGATAAGCTCATTATTTGTTTAGTCTCTAAGTTGGTTGTGCTGTGCATCAGTCAGTCCATCATTCCGTCAGTCAGTTAGTCAGTCAGTCAGTCAGTCAGTCAGTGAGTGCAGTTAGTGTCGTGCTTTGTAATTGTTAATCGCATTAAAATTGAATTTTGATATGTACTTTTTGGACTTTTCTCAAAGGCTTCACATTTATTATATAAACTAATTAACAGGCTTTCACTTAAGCTAATTACCACGCCCCTCTAGGCGCGAGGTATATGGGCGCCTTCCGGCTGAAAGCCGTTCTCATCGGCCACATAGCTGACGGAGTAGGTGACGCCGTCATCGCCCACATAGGAGAAGGCGCCCTTGACGGCGAGTGCCTCATTGTCGGTGCCAGGATTCTTCAGGATGCCCTCTTCGGTGCGCTTGGTGCCATCGCTGGTCTCCAGCTCCAGTTTGTAGCCATCGGGCTGCACATCCGACGATTGGGACACAATTGTCGCATCATTCGCGGGCGCAGCTGCGCTCAGAGCCAGACAGAGGCAGAGGAAGACCACGGCGCACTTCATGTTCCTATTGATGTCTTTTCTTGATCGGCTGCCGAAAATAATTTGCGCTCTTGGCCATACGAGTTGGCTTTTATACGCACAGCTGCTGGCATAACCAAAAGGCGTCAACAGCAGCTAATAAATACAATTAGCACATTATTTGTTTATACATAATTATTTTCTGATACCCTAGACCCCATTCAAGCTGACTGAAAAGGGTATCATGTTGTTCGCAGAAATGTTTTCTATATGTAAAAGGCGACATATACTATATATAACTTTAATCAGGAAATATAGACGAGTAGAGTCGTTGATCTTATCTCGTAGCATTATGAAAGCTAGACTCAACATATTTGGTTTGTGGTTCCTAGTATTTTTGAATACTTCTCTGCGTTCTACCTAAAAATGAAAAAGGATGCCTTTGTGGGGGCAACGTTTTCGACTTTGAGAATTCTTGAGAATTTCATAAGGATCGTACAATAAACACCCGAGTTCTTTGAGAACATATTTTCCATAGTTTGAAACTAAGCGAAGAGAAAGTACAACCGCCGTACGAACTTCTCACAGCAGCTAAACGTCGAAGATCAAGGGTATCTTCTTGTTGGGCTATTCCTAGACAACTCCCTTACTTGCTTTTATTTCTGTTTTTTCCTACATGGGCTTGTGCATATCTGTGTTGAGGCCGACATGTGTTAATTGTCGCCCCTGTAAGCTATGAGGAGCGCACACCAAATCTAAAAAGAGCGAACAAATAATTGGAATTCAAACAAAAGGCGCGAGTAGAGTCGACTTTGCTCAACCAAAAGATGCGCTGTACATTGAACGGGCGTACAGCAAATGGAAATTGAAACTTGTCTGTAATTACATTTTGTAGTCTTTTTTGAAGGTTAGAACCAATCCGTTTCCGGTTCAATTCAATTTCGATTCGAACTAGAACATTTTGAATATATTTTATTCTAATTCTTTTTGCGGCCTTGTCTGTAATAAGAAAAAGTCGAATGCTTGCACAAATTTCGAAGCAGAAACAATATTAAAGAAAAAATAAATTCCACATGCAAATTTATAAAAATTATATGTCCATGTATAAGTATTTTCCTTACTACTCAAATAAATTATAATTTAAGCGAGCAACAAGTTTGGCTGGAAAATAGTTTTAATTAACTTTGCAAATTTTTGCATACGTTGCCTAGATCACGTTTTTTTTTATTTTTTATATCTATTTTATTTTTTTTACAATTATGAATTCCCTTCTATCGAATTTGGAAATAATCAAGTAAAACATGTTGCTCTATAAATAGTAGAAAATTGTAAAGCTTTGCATCTGGTTTCGTGAATATCTTACATGCCCTGCGAAAGGCGCTAAAAGATTTACAAAAATACAGAAATAAATAGATATATGCCGTATAAGTATATCGTCTGTTTCCATTCTTGTTTAAATTTGCATGTTTGCCATGTAGGCCCGCTTAACGGCGAGACATCCATTTATAGGCCGACTTGAATACATAGTCATATAGTTTATTTCAAGTTTAAATTAATATTCATTTCGCTACTAAATCAATTGTTACGATTTTAAGTTTACCAAGTTGTACGTATATATTAAACTAGTTTGTCAGCATTTTTTTTTTTTTTTTTTTTTTTGGGTAGAGTATTGTTTTTGTTATGCTTAATGGAACCCCTCAAGATCCACTATAAATACGCAGACAAGCGGCTCGATAAAGCATAGTTACCTTTGAAGCCTCAAACGCGCTACACAATATCTAAACATGAAGTTCCTCATTGTCTTCGTCGCCCTCTTCGCCCTGGCCCTGGCTGCGCCACCACAGAGTGATGTCCAAATTGTGCGTCAGGACTCAGATGTCCAGCCTGACAGCTACAAATATGGGTAAGAAATACGAACATTGGGAGCTTCAAGTCTTTGCTGATCCTTTGCCTTCACAACTACAGTGTGGAGACATCCGATGGCACCAACAAAAACGAAGAGGGTCAGCTGAAGAACATTGGCACAGAACAAGAGGCTATTTCCGTTAAGGGCTCATTCTCCTTCGTTGCCGATGATGGTCAGACCTACCAGGTCAACTACATCGCCGACGAGAACGGTTTCCAGCCCCAGGGCGCTCATCTGCCCGTCGCCCCCGTTGCCTAAGAAGCAATGTTAAATTTTAAATAAATTGATTGTTTTCCTGAAAAAATGATGCTTTAAGTTTTTTGAGTTTACAGATAAGGAAGGTCTTTTAGATAATTGAAAACATTGTCAAGCAGTACGAGTAAAAGCTGTCTACACAAATATTCCAGCTTCCCTCTATGCTTATGCTGCGGCTTTGCTTCCCTTTCTTTATGACATTGGTGCGTCATAAACATGATATTAAAATACATGTACATTTCTAAGCCCAAAACAATACCTAACAAAATATTATTTAAATGGTATTCAGTAAGTTTCGTATTCTGGTTTATCGCAAATTTTGTATATCTAACTTTTGTTTCTGTCTTTTGTATCTATGGAAGTTTATGCTATTCATTCGCATGTATATTCAAATGTAGATACTGCGTCGTTTTTTTTGTAGAAGGTCCATAAATTCTTTCGTTGGAATAAGGCCAGCCAGACCTAAGGCATTTCTCTATTTATTAAATGTATTTTTATATGTGATATAATGTCGATTTTCCCGATTTTCATGAGATTTATCTGGATTCTTTTTATGCTCGGTCAGTGGCAAAGAATTCCTTTAGGAGAAGACATTTTATTTATTTTTATCAATGATATTCCTTCGGGTAAGAATGCTTCGGGTATCCCTCGTCGGACGCTGCCAGCTTGTGACCTTTAACTTGATATAGTTAAGACTATTATAGCATAACATAATTTGGTTTCTTATTGTGGAAGAAAGAAATATCCTCTACCTTAAGCTTATATATATAATATATATTCTATTTTAGTCTTATTCCCACTCTCCCTACACTCCCATCTCTATAACTAAGAGAACTACTTATCAAGTTCTCCAGTGACATCAGTTATGATTTCACTGTTGCAAAACGCTGAATTATAAATTTTAGTGTGATTCGGAAATCGAATAAAATACTAAAATAATCTGTAAGTCAGCTTTGAATCAAACATAAACCAACATAAAAACTGCGCGCTATTGGAATCATTTATGCTGTTTTTTTTCTCAGTTTAAAGAATGCATTGTTAAATAAAGTCTATGTCTCTTATCTGATCGTAAGAAAATTAAAAGGTCTTCTTTTCAAGCCAAGATATCTTGACCTTGCTCCTTATATTTAAGCGTAATTTGATCAATATCGATCCACTATATCATATAGGAAATGGAACGATTTTTTGACTGAAAAACTGTTTTGTTTTCAAGCTATCGTAATTCCATTTGGGATTTACGAGTTCCTAGCATGGTCAACACACGTAAGCAAAATATTATATATATATAATATTATATATATCATACATCTATAGAAAGAATGTTCAGTTTTTCAAAGATATCTTCAGCAAACTGATCAAATACGAGTTTTATAATGCATTTGAGAGCTTAGACTCTTGCAGGGTATTTAGTCTTTCTCTTGCCTAACTAGTTGGGAAGGCAGCGAAGTAGAGGTATTCAAAGGGGGTTGACCGACTGCATTAACCCATTAGATTTATTTGAGTTGTAAAACGGATTTATTTTCGATATTTTATTGAATTGATTTAATAATCAGCCTTTGGGATATGGGCGCCTTCGGGCTGGAAACCGTTCTCGTCGGCCACATAGTTGACGGTGTACTTGACGCCATCGGGGCCAATGTGCTCGTACGAGCCCTTGACGGCGATTGACTCGTGATCGCTGCCGGGATTGATGAGGACACCGCTCTGCTGGGCGTTGGCTCCATCGCTGGTTTCTGAGTTGAAGGACCACTTTTCTGGCTCAACATCCAAACGCTGATCCTTGATCACAACGTCGTTGGGCGCGGCGCAGGCCAGGGCGAAGAAGGCGGCGAACAGGATAATGAACTTCATGTTGCGGTGTTCCTTGTTGTAGACTCAACAACTGTTTGATATTCCACTGCAGCGTTGCTGCGCTTTTTATAGTTGCCCGGCAAAAGTCAAAGTTGAAGCGGCATCAATGCCAAAATATTAGAAATTTGAATTTCTATATAATTATTTCCGGTTAAACTGGTAAAGGGGAAGTTGCATTGGGAACTTCTTCTGGATACCAGAGCTAAATACCAGTTTCAAATGGAACGACGGTTGCTACAATTTATGCTTGCATGATGCCATTTTATTAAATATATTAATTCAAATGCTAGATAGATAGATAGAACAGCTCTTGGTTTCCAAAATACAGCTTAGTTGCCAATGGGCACATTGGGCAGATGGGCGCCCTCCGGCTGGAAGCCGTTCTCATCGGCCACATAGTTCACGGTATACACCTGGCCATCGTCGGCCGTAAAGGAGTAGGAGCCGCGCACAGCGATCGATTCGTTCTCAGCACCAGGATTGGTCAGGCTGCCCTCCTCGTCGTGCTTCTGTCCATCGCTGGTCTCCCAACTGTCAGAGGAATACGCTCAGTTATTGCGGCTCTCTCTCTCTCTCTCTCAGCGGCTGTGCTGTTAGCTTACCCGAACTTGTAGCCGTTGGGCTGGACATCGGAGTCGAGGCGCAGGATCTGTGCCGTCTTGCTGTCATCGAGCGGTGCCGCCAAGACGGCCGCCAGGAATGCAACCAATACAATAGCAATTGTGTACTTCATGCTGGGCAAATCGTTTCGCGATCGAACCACGAACTGTGAACTCTTGTGGACTTGTGATGACTGCTATGGCCGACCAGGTGCTTTTTATAGCCAAAAACTGACTGAGTGTCCACCAATAAATTACTACAATGCGATAAATAAAGAAAAGTTTGTCCGAAAATCAAAACATGAAAAAAAAAAGACTAATTACACAGCGCATAAGCTAACAAATTGGCTTGAAAAACGCACCAACAGGTCGCCGTCAAAGACAAAAACAAAGCGCGAGAAACAACAACAAAATTCATCGATAATAACAAAAAACTTCTAAGGTAAACAATACAAAGATGTTCATAGGAAATATCTCGGCTTCATTACGATTGCCGGTTCCATCATAATCATTGCGATCATCATGACGACGAATTTGCATTTTTCGTAAATCAATCAAAAGCTTCAATTTAATTTTGGACACACTCTAGACACACACACGCACACACACACACACACACACACACACACAAACACTCCCTTGTATTTGCCATATACATATAAGTCTAGCTCGTTTGCCCTACAGCCACAGAGCTCAATGAAAACCAGCCCAAATTACCGTTTAAATATATTTATCATTCTTATTTACTTATAATACTTCACATATCTGAATGTATTTGTCATCTTATGCATATATACCATATTTTAATATCTCACCGGAAATATAAAACTACACCCAACTTGATTCACAATTAAAATCTGTGTCAAAGCCACACACAAAGCGTTCCTTATTTATAATTATTATTACAGTACCTATTTATTTTTAATTACTTTTTATATTTATTCAAAATGAATGAACATAAAAAAAAAACATTCTAGCCGCATGTGCTGCACCATAAATCTAGAATTAAAGCTGTGCAAAAACATGTTTCTCTGTTGCTAGTCTTATATTTTTTCTATGAAACATTTCAAGTTTTAAGCAGAAGCATTAAGTATAAATTATTTCAAATTTATGCACACGCCAAAAGAGATGTTCGCGTGTCTTTCAGCCGGGAAGGTCAGGGGAAGACATCTTCCAGGTTTCTGATTCGTAATTTATTAAGGAACAAATTTTGCTTTGTTGAGTAAGAAATCGAACTAAAAGGCGGCAGGTCGCTGGTTCAAATGAGGAAGTAAAATGTGTTAGAACAATGCGATGTAAATAAACTAGGACGAGTTCTCAGTGAAGATGAAAGTTGTTTATGTTATCTTTACAATTTTATATATAAATACATCATATCTAATCTTAAGTTTTCCACAATAGTTAAATGCTAATCATACACTCCGGATTAGGCGGTGGTTCTTGCTAGTTAGTCTAGTTTGGCAGAAATCTATTAAGGAATTAATTAAGACTCATGCATTTTTATGAAGACCCATGCTTTTTTGATTGCCAATAAGTTGTCGCGCAGTTTTCGATTATTTTGCGAATTAAACTAGTTTGTTGCCATTGTCAACTGGGCAGGTTGACATCGATGCTTTACTATAAATACTCAGCCATGATATGCTATTAAGCATAGTTACCTTTGAAGCCTCAAACGCGCTACACAATATCTAAACATGAAGTTCCTCATTGTCTTCGTCGCCCTCTTCGCCCTGGCCCTGGCTGCGCCACCACAGAGTGATGTCCAAATTGTGCGTCAGGACTCAGATGTCCAGCCTGACAGCTACAAATATGGGTAAGAAATACGAACATTGGGAGCTTCAAGTCTTTGCTGATCCTTTGCCTTCACAACTACAGTGTGGAGACATCCGATGGCACCAACAAAAACGAAGAGGGTCAGCTGAAGAACATTGGCACAGAACAAGAGGCTATTTCCGTTAAGGGCTCATTCTCCTTCGTTGCCGATGATGGTCAGACCTACCAGGTCAACTACATCGCCGACGAGAACGGTTTCCAGCCCCAGGGCGCTCATCTGCCCGTCGCCCCCGTTGCCTAAGAAGCAATATTAAATGTGAAATAAATTGACTGTTTAAAAAAAAATATTATTGAAATTTGTTTTGTACCGTGTGTATTACAGAAGCAAGAGTTTAACGGATAAATGCTGGTTTTGGGTTGGTCAGTTTATATTGGACATTAATTCTCTATACATTCTAAATTTAAACCGTTTTTCGTCTTGTTGAGGTTTCCTGAAAATGAGCATAAAACCGATTAATTAAAAAAACAACCACGACTCAAATTTCCACCAAGACAAGGGGTTAGATTTTCGATAAGAGCGAGTTGCTAAAATATTTAAGGTATAACATTCAGCTTATAAGCTCTTGCAGCTTGAGTCGTAAGTTAATAACCAATCAATTAGTCGGTCAATCAGTATTCTGTATTCAGTGATCACATGCTTTCTTTAGAAGGGAAGGGAAGGGAAGAAGAAAATTATGATTCTACGGTTAGAGGACAGGCAGTCAATCAGACAGCTAGTTATTCAGTTAGTTAGTCTGTCAGTCAATCAGTTATTTACAGCGTCAATCAGTTGGTCCAATAGTCAATCAGTCATTATGTCGAATAGTTGATCAGTCAGTAATCTGTTGTGGAATCTGGTAATTAGATGGGCAATCGTTTAATCAGGCAGTCAGTCAATCACTCGGTTTGTGAGTAAGGCAGCCAGTCATTCAGTTGGTAAAAAGGTCCGTCAGTCAATCAGGCATTTAGTCAGTCAGTCATTCATTTAGTGAAGAGGCCAATCAGTTAGTCAATTCGTTTTTGAATCAGGTAATCAGAAATTCGGTAAATTGATCAGTCAGTCAATCAGTTAGTCACACAGTCAATCAGTGAGTCAGTTATTCAAATAGTCAATCGTCAGTCAATCAGCTTCGAATCAGGTCAGTATATCAGTCAGTCAATCAGTTGCTTAACCAGTTATTCAGACAGCCAGTCAGTCAATCAGTCAGCCAATCAATCAATCAATCAATCACTCAATTAGTCGGTCAGTTAGTGAATGTGCTCTAAATTGTTTGGTCAATCAGTTAGTCCCTCAGTCAAACAGTTATTAATTTAAAATGAAAAGAAACATTTGTTTATATGGAACATAAAACTGTTGGTATATTATTAAGCATGACTATGAGATTTTCAAATTGTTGTTTGTTTGTTTGTTTGCGAAAATGATTTGATAGATCTTAAACCTAGTTAACATATGGGTGTGGGATGCCTTGGGGCTTATTGAACGGCGCGCGGCAAATGGTCACCCTGTGGCTGGAAGCCGTTCTCATCGGCGACATAGTTGAGTGTATAGGTCTGACCATCATCGCCAACATAGGAGTAGACGCCATGCACTGCAATTGCCTCGTGCTCGGTGCCCACGTTCTTCAGCTGACCCTCCTCCTGATGTGACTTGCCGTCGCTTGTCTCCACACTGATAAAGAGAGAGAGAGAGAGAGAGAGAGAAGGAATTAAACCGGTTTTGTTTGCCGACCTTGACACACTCTTCTGTCGGCAGCTCGATTTGTACTCACGCAAACTTATAGCCCTCCGGCTGCACATCGGAGTCGAAGCGCAGCACCTGAGCCTCTTGCTGTGGAGGCGCAGCCTGCACGGCGACGCAGGCTACGATGGCAACAAGAGCGGCAACAAAGGCGTACGAGTACTTCATTTTGGCTAAGAAGGTTTTTTTTTCTCTGGTCCGACTTGTGGTGCGTTCAAGGAGCTTGCAGTTAATGCATGCCAACTGTAAGCGCAGCAGCCAATTTATAGCCAGACTCCTGCAAAAGATTGCCAAAAAAAAAAACACGAAAAGAAAGACAAAGGAAAAAAAAAAAAACAAATGAAGTACAAGAAAGATAAAAGATATAAGTGTACCCTAAACCCGTTTAACTGTGGCCAACCTTTATTACTTAACTTGGCTGATTGCTGCTGACGGCTGCTGCTTGTCTTTTGGCAATTGGCTTTGATTGATTACAGCCGGACCTAACCCAAACATTATTTGCCAGAGACAAAGCGTGCACAGCCAGGCTTGGATTGGGATAAAGTTGTAGATATAATCGATGGATCGTAACGGGGTCACTTGTATTTGGCTCAAGTGCAAGTGAAATGCCCAAATCCCCTCAAGAAAACAAATCTCTTAATTTTTGCTTGCCATTTAACGTTTCAGCACCATTTGAACTTTTTCGACTGCTAAAATTTCGTGTTTTAGTCAGATTTGTAGCTCGTTTGCTTTCGTTTCTTCGTACGTCATTCGCGCATCGTTTAGCCCCTCATTTTATTGTACTTATGCATTTACACAGAGAAAAACAAAACAAAGCAAACTGAGGCTGTGTGGGCGAAAGTTATATTTTCTTTTGTCTAATGTTATTTAAAACGTGACTAGCCAATTGCCGTAATCGACTTTGATGGGGATCTAATTGGGTGTAACACTGATGTTTTAAATTTAGGCATAAGCATAAAACCTGGCAATGCCGGGTAACACACTCTATGTGTGCACTTTGACCAAATTTACTTCACTTTCCTCACAACTCCCACCGCTGCGCTTAAAACTAAGCAGTTTATTTTACGTATTGCCTTACTATTCGATTCTCATGAATTCAAGTAAAAGTTACACTAACATGTTTTTTATGTGGTTGTGTATGTGTATGTGTGTCTATGTATGTGTGCATCTATGTGTATACGTATAAATGCATGCATGCTTGCATGTATGCATGCAGGTTTCTATGTATGGATGCATGCATACTTGCATGTATGGATGTATGTCTGTAGGTATATATGCATGTTTGTATTATTTCTATTTGTTTCTCATATCTAACAAATTTTCTAATTCTTTTCTTTCAGTGATGTGGACATATTCGGGTAAGTGCATATCAATATATTTTATGATTTGGGGCTCAGTAAATTATATAAGATACTATTACGTTGATTTAATTATAAGAAATTATTATTATTATTTGCAAAAAAGCAAAGACAAGGTATAAGAAAAAGATCATATTCTTAGCCTCATTGTTTGAGTGACTTATGATATTGATATTCAAATTTGAGTGCGAACATATAGGGTTTCAAATAACATTAGCTTTCGATGGTTCGGCTTATACCTGCTTTCCCATATTCATGAACCTCCTTCTTTTTTTTTGGGCATCTGATTTGGTTCAAGGCTGGGCTTGAATCCGGTTTCTTACCAAATATTAAAAATAAAAAACTCGCAGATCAATGATAATAGCTGCAGCTTAAAAGTAAATATACATATATGTGTTTCAGTTTTCTCAGCTCTTAAATCCAATTGAAATTGTTCTCGTTTTTTTTCCGCCGTGTACTAAGACCAGATATTCAAATATTTTTGCACAATCGACATTAGTCGCAGCTGTGCCGCGATGCAGGACAGTTGAAACCAGCGCTTCTCATGATCACACCAAAGATTCTTGGCCTGCTGGCAGTTTTGGCAATTGCCCGCGTCGATGCCAGCCCCAACGATGCGCAGATATTGAAATTTGAAAATGTCAACTTGGATGGCAACGGCTATGCCTTCTAGTAGGTGGACGTCCACGGAGCTAATTGAATTGAAATTAATTGTGTCAAGCATTCGCAACAGCTACGAGACGAGCGACGGCATCTCGCGCCAGGAGACGGCCCAACTGAAGCATGTCGGCACCGCAGAGGAAGCTATTGCCGTGCAGGGTAGCGTTAAATGGGTGGGACCCGACGGTGTACACTATAAGCTCAACTATCTGGCCGACGAGAATGGATTCCAGCCGGAAGGTGAACATCTGCCACGCCAGGAAACGACCGGAATGCTCTGATCACGTGATCACCTGTGCTTTTGTTGTTCAAATGTTAAACAATGTCCATAAATATCCAAATTTCTAGTTTGTTGATTTTTGACAATGTCAGGCCATCAATTTTCACCACTCAAATTTATTCTAGCACAGCATTAAATTAGCATATGGCTCTACATATATATATGTGTATATATAACACAAAATATCAGCTGTCTGTTTCAAGTCGAGAATTGAATACCCTCACAGACATGTACCTAATGTGCGGTAGATATATTCACAAAAGTGTTTGAAAGATACAATAATTACTACAGAGACTTACTCTGTGTGTGCGATTAGACGGAGAAATATAAGTGTGCCTTTGCGTCGAACCATTAAATGAGAAGTCGCTGATTCAAACCTAGAAATTCTTTAACATATTCTTATATGGAGTAAAAAGTGTGCGATTAGACGGGCAACAAATTTATGCCATTCCGTCGAACCATTAAAAGAGAAGTCGCCGGCTCAAATCGATAAATTCTTTAAAGGAAAGAGGAAAATAGCATTAAAAACGAACTTTTAAATTTTTGCAAAATTTTTTTTTAAATTTTGACAATACTAATAAACTCTCTGGCAGGGTATTTAAGAGATAAACCCGTTGCTGGACAGTTGTCGGGTTGCGTGAACAGAGTCAGCTGGCCAGGGCCGGACCGGTTCAATAAACACGCTTCGCCAAAGACGGCAACGAAAGTGAGAACTGCACAGCAACAACAGCTGAGAAAATATGAAATACAAAAAATTGTTTAAACCGAAAAAAAAAAAAAAAACACCAGTCAGTTCAGCTAAAGGGCAAACTAGTGCAGCTGGGGCCAACATCGTGTTGGGCAATTAACGGGCGCATCTTTTGGCCAAGCGCCTCATTTATCAATCGTAACTGCAAAACAATCAAACAACGTCAAGAGTTACGTTCCGACTGGCCAGTCACTTGGCGGCTCCTCAATGCTGATTGATGAGCAGTCGCAGCAGCAGCAGTCGTGGGGGTCGGAAGGGGAACGCGGAGCTTAGCTGAGCGGCTGTTAAATGCGCTACAATACATTACGCATACGCCCTGTACACAACCGTTGCTACAGCGCAGCGCAGCGCAGCTTTATTCAGTTTTTATTTTATTGACTAAGGTCATCAACACACACACACACACACACACACGCACACCTGCACACACACCCAAGCCAAAGCTCGAATCTCGTGTCGCATCTTCACTTAACAAGTTGTGCCCGCCCCCGCCCGCTTAATCGTCGGCTGGCAATGCAGCCTCTAGTTTTGGGTCTTTTTGAAGGTCAACTTGACGCGGCTTTATAAAATTGTGTCACCTTATAATATAAATATGCATATCTCGGCATTTTGACTACATTCTATATGTACTATTCGAGCTTTACCAGGAAAAACGTTAATCAGACTTAAATTAAAAAAATAATACATGATTTTTTAAAACATTTTCAATGCTGATCTTTAAAAATGTTAAAAGTAAGAGTGCTCAACTAGCAGATACCCTGAACATACCTGTCTTCACAATAATTGTCCCTACACATGCACTTGGCTGGGCTTCTTTCAAGTTTAAACAAACTATGGTAACTGTGGACTCTAATGTCCGATCTTTATGCAATTTTCAGGGAATAAATATGATATCCAAATGTGCCCAGTACTGTAACTCCGAAAATACGGTTTACTACAAATTTTAGTGGGTACAGGGTATAGAAACCAAGCAAAGATATATTTTGTATATTGCTGCATGCCATGCAAAAATCCTTATATTCTATTTATTGCCGCTAGCTATTAAATGCTGATTAGGATTTTGATATCGATAAAAATCGAGCTCAGGTTTTCTATTCTCCAACACTAAACGGACTTGGCTTCAGTGACTCGGCTGCTGATTGTCAGCAAAAAAAAAAGGTCTCGAAGGGGCCTTCTTCTGCCTGTTACATACATGCGCACAAAAACATCATACCTAGCCTTAGACATTTTTTATAGCTGCCGGCTATAGAGACAGCTGCAATATAATATAATTTTTTAAGCTTCTTTTTCTCGATGTTGAAGTCGTACGACCAACTAGTGCGTGGCCCTGGAATAGCCTAAATATATTAACTATATCTGCGCTTAAGACTCAAATTAGCCAGATTTTATCTGTTGGCTTGCTGGTTAAGATTGAGGAACTTTTTTGGTTGCCTGTTAAATATTATTATATTTATATATATATAAATGCTTATATAGTTTTTTATAATAATTATTTCCTGTTGCTGCTGTGCTGCTGTCTAATTATATTTTTATTTTAGACACATTTTGCTTTGTGCGTAAGTAAATTCAGCCGTTGACCTATTGCCATAGATATGCAAACACGCGCGTCTAACCAAATATTTGCAAGCACATTTCATTATCATGATTACGTTCGGCTCGCGGTTCGAGATTCGACAAGATTCACTTGGCGGCCAATTCAAATGAGATGCGAGTGTACATCAAATGCTTAATGGATTTTTGGCTTGTTCAATTAAAAGCTTAAGACATGCTCACACACACGCACAACCACGCACAACCAGACAAAGTCTTGGGCATACCCAGAGCAGAGTCAACAATTATATAATTTGTGTGCATTAAAGGCGATTGTTATGGCTACCTTATTGTGTGTTTGTTTATTTGTGTGTGTGTGTGAGTGAGTGTGTGGTGAGTGTGTGTGTGTGTGGGAGCATTTTGGGCAGCCTGATGAATTAGTATAAATAGCTGGCAGCTCATTAGCAGGCGCCACATAAGTCGTTAGCGCCTAATTGTGACAAGTACGGTAGCGTGTCGTGAACTCTTGATTTGAAATACGAAAAATATTACAAAAAAAAACTATTGAAAAATGCGTGGTATCAACGTTTGTGTCTTCGTCCTGATCGGTTTTCTGTTCCTGTGCAGCAGCCAAGCGGCGCCGCTGGATGACTCACAGCAGGCAACAATTTTGCGTTACGATAACGAAAATATCGGCACCGATGGCTATAACTTTGCGTGCGTACAGCCCAGGGGATATATATAGACAAGAGGATATATAATTGAAATTCACACTTGATTTACAGCTACGAGACAAGCGATGGCGTCACACGCCAGGAGCAGGCGGAGCTGAAGAACGCCGGCACCGAACAGGAGGCGCTCAGCGTGCGCGGCTCCGTCAGCTGGGTGGCACCTGATGGCCAGACCTATACGCTGAACTATATTGCCGACGAGAACGGTTTCCAGCCACAGGGTGACCATTTGCCGCACAACTGAAGCAGTCACAAATGGATCATTGGCTCGGACTAAGTAATCAGTATTTTCTTGTATAATAAAATAAAACAAAAGAGGTCTCTAGTCGGGAGTGCACGACTAGGGTATACCTTGAACCTTCTTCTACCAACACCAAATGCTGCTCATAATAAGAGGAGGAGGGGTTCTTTGGCTCCCTATATGACAATTTTTGTAACTCTAGCTCTTAAAAGAAATAGGATTTCGATATCGATTGTTGCGATTATCGGGCACCAACACATAATGTGCGCGCACTAGCAGGACCTACGTTAGGGATTTAAGTCTCTAGCTCTTAGGGGTTCTGAGGTCGACACGATGGAGAAACGGGCAGACGATCCTAGGTCGACTCGATGCTTCCTTCTGCCTATTACAAACAGGCAGAACTCCCTTTTAAGCCATTTTCAATGGGTTAAGTGAACAATAAATAAGCTAAACAATGCTGCATTTGAAGCTCTGGTTACACTGAATATCAAGGGGGATGCTCGGGAGATGAACTCTAAGCAGCACCAAGAATGGGTTGGCCTAAATACTCAGTACTTTTTCGTAGGATGAATTTTAACTAATGTTCTGGCAAATACTTGTATTTTGCACAATTTTCAAATATTAATTAGTGTTAAATAATTGAGGTTATGTCATGCCTGGGCTGCCGACTAAGTCGCAGAAAGTCAAAGTTATTTTTTATTAATAGATGCTCAAATATTTCGCCTCGGGCGCGAACTTACGCGTAATACATTTATCATAGCTAAATAATGACAGAGTAGTGATATTTTGATTTAGCTCTATCTTTGCCTTTTTGTATTTGTTTACGTTTATTTGTTTCTTTTTGATTTAGTATTTGGCAAGCGTATGAGGAATGACAATAAATGCTTTTTTATGCATTTGGCTGGCAAAAAAAAAAAAAAAATGTGTTAATCTATAATTAAAATGTATTCTATTGGATTTTTTCATTAATTTGTTTACCTAGAATATTGTAGTATTCTTTTAATTTTTTGTTGCGCCGATTAGGATATTGTTCTCTAGAACTTTTAGCACCGGGTCGCCTATAAAAGCCATTCGCGTTACGGTCAACGGGCCAGTTAAGTGCAGTCGAGTGTAAACCAAACATGAAGTGCTATACCCTGTTTTTAGTTGTATGCCTGGCGGTTAGTTTCGCTCGCGCCATGCCAGCCGAGGATGATTCAAAGGCGGAGACTCTGCGCCTGGAAACCGATAACAATGGCATCGACAAATACTCCTTTAAGTGAGTTTGAGCTGTTCACATGCGAAGCATCCATTTAATATCCACCCTTCCATGCCCAGCTACGAGACCAGCAACGGCATCGCACGCAGCGAGGAGGGCGTGCTGAAGCCGGGCACTGGAGATACCGAGGGCGTGCTCGCCGTGTCCGGCTCCAGCAGCTGGACGGCGCCCGATGGCAAGAAATACGAGATAACCTTCACCGCGGACGAGACGGGCTACCATCCCATCGTCAAGCTAGCTGCCTAGACAGAGCCACACACGGGCCGGCTAACAACAAATGGAACATTCCCAAAAACCAAACAAAAAAAATTGCAAATATACAAAAATTATATAAAAATAAATAAATAATATATATAGAATCTATAAACTCACTAAATATGCTCAATAAAAAATAAAACAAAAATAAAATCAAAATGAAATGCCATTTGCAGCATGAATTTCTGGAGGATCCCAGATCTCAGCCTCTAGCTGTATACAATATATGTGTGATATATTTAGTACGTATATATAAAAGTACTTATATATAGAAGTACTTAAATATATGTAATTAACAGTAATTACCCAAATGTTGTCAAGGATCTAGGTGTCTTTCTTGCCTATTAACTCAAACTCGACGATCTTGGGTTTCATCAATCGAAGATCCGAGCAGTTTACGCTTTTTATATCTTTGGTACGATCTATTCTTGAGTATGCCTTATGTGCCCAGTATCCAAAATATGACATTCATCGAGAGCGAATGGACTTTGTTGGTCTGAGATCATGGTAGAAAAAATACTCCATTCTCGGCTCTGATAACACATTATCAACCGGAATTTAGAGTTAAGTAATGGAGCTTATTTCAATATAGGGAGACGAGAAATTGGTAAATTATCTTAGCTGAGATCTGACTCGTAAAATAATTATCATAGCTAAGCGAGAAGAATCCTAGGGTGACCAAAAAACCAACAGTATAATATGGAGTCTATGTCTCCGTTTATACAATTTTCTGGTGAAGCTTCCAAAAAGTCAAATGTTCTATATCTTAGTATACTATTCTTACGAGCTCCGAGTCACGATAGAAAATAACAGGAATTCGATTTCTAGAATTCTAAAAGAGTTCCCCTCATCACCATATAAATTATCAAAACATGTTTGATAGAGGAATAAAGTAAAAATAAAATGAAAAGAAAGTAATTTATTTATGAAACCCGGATCCCTGTAACAAAGGCCAACTCTTGATTTCTGGCAAACCATATAATATGTTTGGTTTTGTGTATAAAACTAACAGTTATGCAAATTCCTGGTTATCGATTCTTAATTATCGATTTGCATAACGCGTTCTAGGCCCAAAACGAAATGAAAAGTATGACGCAAGAGCGGCTACTGTGGCTGCTGCTTTGACTATAAAAACTGGAACCCGATTTCTATATATGTGTATATATATATATCGAATATATATTTTTTTTTTGTATTTTTTCCGTGGTCTTCTTCTGTCTCGTATACGCATCGTGGTTGCGGCTGGCGCGCGACCTTCGCGTTCATTTTGCATCATCAACGAAATTTGCAAATTTTTGTGTGAATAAACTTGTTTTTTCTTTTATTGTTGGGTTTTCGCTTTTTTTCTGTTGTTCGAATTTTGTTTTCTTTGTAATTAATAGGTACATAATGAAAGCTGTGCATCTACAATTTTGAACAATTAGCGAGCAGCGAATTTGTTTGACAGCCGCACGAAACAAAATCGAAGCCAACAACAATTTTGAAGGTTAATTTCCTAAAATTTTATAAACTTGCACAAACGTAAATCTTTTTATGATTATTATAACCCGAAACTATTGAGAATGCGTTGAGAGGTATAATGGTTGTGTGTGAATATATGTAACAGGCATCTCCGATATAATGAAGATTCATATTATATGAACTGGAGTACTTGAATTTAAAATGTAGCTGTTCTTATTTATCGTGCAGTTCAGGCTTGTATCAAAGCATCGATAACTAGCCTTGTTTCCCTGAAATCGATACAAATCGATATCGAAATCTTGTTTTTAGCGCAAGCGTAGAAGCTTAGAGACTCTCGTATACTTATACATTGGTAAATATTGATCGATATCGATATATATCGAACGATCGATATATATAAATCTCAGTGAATGACAATCGCATTTCGCACAGGGTATCTCCTGGTCGCATACTCTCGCCTAGAGCATTCTTTTTATGCTGATGCTAATTTTTAAAGCAACAACTCTTAAGTAAATCAAGCGTACAAAATGTATACAAACGCTGCCCAACACTGGTCGGCTAATTCTGATTTGCATGCCCGCAACCTTTGCTGACGTAAATATTGTTAAGCCGTCCAACAAAAATATATTTATATTTATATATTTTTGTATATAAATTGCTGCCTAAACGAACAATGATCTGCATTTGCGTTCGCGTCTGGTATTTTTATTGGGCTCTGTCAATGAGCCGAGCTTATCAAACAGATGCATAAATTAGTTTTCGGACACACAGAAAAGATTTATTTCGAGATCAACAACCCAACTGGTCTGCTTCTAGTCTAGGTTTATTTTAAGGGGAAGTACATACAATATGTGTCTACAACCTATTTCCGCTTACTTCTTTATATTATTAATGAGCCAAGAATTGTGTGCAAAAATTAATAAAGAATTTTCTTTATAAGTTAAGCGTTAACTTTATTACTTAATGATCAACTCTTGCTGAGCTCGACTATTTCAAGTTAGAAGTACTTGAAGCGACAATAAAATGTTAATCAAGTCATGCATAAAAAACCAGATTTCCATCTGCAACATTGTATAAAGGTTTGGGTCAGCGTCGCGTTTGCCTCAGTCGCATCAAGCGCTTCAATGCGAATCAACATGTTTGCTTTGATCGCTCTATTCCGATTAGATCGAAGTGCTCGACATTGAGTTACCCCATAGCTATGTATCTATTACGCTTGACAGAAAACAGGGCTTGCAGATTAATAGAGCAATATGGCTAAATCGATAAGTACCTTAGTATGTGTATATACAATGTTTAAGGTGTACCTTGCTGCATCTGCGAGTTTATAAAGTAATTATTCTCGATCAGTTCGATGAGCTGAGTCGAGCTGGCCATGCCTGACTGTTGATATAAACACGTCTCGGTCTTGAAAATTTGAAAAGCTAGAATCTTTAAATTTTAGATATATATTCCTCTATAACATACGCAAAACGAGCTGATACTTTTTTATTTTGGATATTTATATTATATTTCATATTTATTTACTTATATCTGCAATCATATTATTAATATCGGTAAATATCGATTTCGAGTCACGATATTTTAGACTGTACCCAAAGATTATAAAAGCCTTAGATATAAGACTTGGTATGTGGCCTCTCGTATGCTAAAAACACATTATTTTTCGATACCTTCAGCTATTTTAAAAATATCGATAGATACCGATTTAGAGACACGACTTTTTAGGCATTGTTTGAATTTTTGCGGGTAGCCTCTTGTATATCATAAACGCATTAAACATATTTCAATTTTTGCACGATTCCGCCCTTAACCCCTAGATTTTCGCTTTGGTACGTACACACATTAGGCTGTTTCATAAGAGTCGGACTGCAAGCGAAAAAGTTAATCAAGAATGAATTTTTTGTAGGACTAAGGGAAGACGAAGCCCAACAAATCCGCAGCACATCCCCTTAAATATTTTTAAGGCGTACAGGGTATAGCAGGGCGTGTAAGTTGTGCCTTTAAGTATGCGTATACTTTGATATTAAACGGACCAAAATGTTTACAGCTTTTAGGCTTCGCTTTAAAAAAAACAACCGAAACAAAAGACTTAGGCAACAAACTTGTCAAATGCAAAAAAAACGGATTGCATACTTCTAGGCGGGCCAAAAAAACGTTGCTTGTTTTCTATTATTTGGACAAGTTGTTAAAGCAGTTTGCATTGCAATTTAAATGCAAATGAAGCTGAGAATATTCCCTGAACTTGACAGCAATATTTCCATATACAAGAAAATAGCTGACAACACAACAGATGCAATTTCTGCTGCATCCGGCAAGACACAGACACGGGCAGATGCGCAACGCATCTCAGGACAGCCGATGGCTGATTAATGATGCACAGTGTGCTGCAGTGTAAACAACTCTTCCTCATTGCATTCTGTTTACCCTCCGGCTAGCAACGGTAGTTGACATGAATAGAAGCTGATAAATCATATCGAGAAGCCATTTGTATTTCTCGGTCTCTACTCGCTAATTAACTGCGAGCAGCCAATAAGCGCGCTGTCAACCCACATTTTTTATTCTCCATAGCTGTCAATAATTATATTATATCTTCATATTTATTATTTTGCTTGATTCATGTTTATCCATATTGCCACGAGCTATGCAAATGAGCAGCATAATGACACGTTTTGAAAAATTAAAATAATTATAAATACTAGAGTAGATGCGGTTTGAGTGCGTAGACGACTTGCTTATACCCTGGAAAATTAATACTATTTAGTTATAATTATAAAAAATTTAAGAAATGATCTGATAAGGCCAAACTATGAAAAATAATAGGAAATATAAAAAAAAGAATTAAAAAAGCCCTAACCTGTCAATGCTTTACAAACGCTTAACAACACTGGAGTTGCTCAACACTATTTTTAGAGAGTGGACTTTCGCAGGGCAACTTAAACAGAAACACCTACTCATGCCCCCATCATATACCTATCATCTACCCTATAAAGTTCGGTTGGATAAATGCAAGAATTTTGAGCCCAAGATGTTTGTGTTTTGGGGCTGAATTCCCCTTAAATTATTTTTGGCCAAAGTTTTATTTATAATAAAGTGTTAATTATATTTTCGATAATACAATAAAGTAATATTTTTTTTTAGTTTAGGATTTAATGCTGCATATAAACAAAATATGCTGCACTATGCTACATATTTTTTATGGTAATGAAAATCTATCAAAATATAACTGAAATGCAATTTTTATTTGACAATTATTTATTTATATTATATATGTGCATATTTTTTTTATGTATTATATAGATGTTTCTATTTTGTTTAATTCGTTATTATTATTATATGCAAATAAGTGACAAAAAGTCGCCCGACGCCGGGTAATTTCCATAAGTAAACAAGCTAGTGAACGGATCTAGCTTGTTGTTTAGAGGGTATTTAGTTGATTTTGAGCAAACAGCGCTCAGTTAGCTGATATGCTAGCACACACACACACACACACACACGCAGTATCGCTGGCTCAGACACCTATGTATGCGTGTGTGTGTGTGTGTGTGTGCGTGCGTGTGGCAGCTGACCAATGTTTTATAATGTTTACCAAATATTATTAAGTTTGTCAATTGGTCGCCGAACATCGTGGGGTGTGTTTCAGCCGTTTCGCCTGCTCAGCCGAGAGACGCGTCGCTAACGGTATCGCACCGCATAAATTAATTTAATTAATAATAAAAAAATATATATAAAGAATATAACAAACGAGCTAACGGTGTGCGCCAATATAAATACAAATAAAAACAAAAATTGATACGATTTGCAAATTTCGAACACAAGCTGCAAAATGAGGCAAACATATTTGGCTGTCAATTGTGTTGTAAGTGCGCGCGTGTGTGTGTGTGTGTGTTGATTGCTTAAATAATTTATATAATTTATCGAATTTATCACATACAAGCTGCTGACTGTGCTGTGCTTTAGCTACGTCCTGCCCGCCACAGTGCGTCCCTATAAATTCGGCTTTACCATCGAGGAGCAGCAGCATCGTCGCGAGCAAAGAGGTGAGCGGAAGCTGAAGGAGGGATTCTTTCGAAATTGATTGACACCGATATGATCTATCAAATACATGTGTGTGTGTGTGTGTGTATTTATGCAAATGGAGCTGCGTCATGCTGGCAAGCATTAGCGACAAAAAAGGCAACAGCTTTTGACTTTTTGCAACTGCAACTGCCGCAACGATTGTGCAATGCCGCACAATACACGTTTGCGGGTCTAATAGCTGCAGCTGCTGACACTCGGGGTCAATATCAATTGAAATGCCTAAGATTCTACCAGTCTGTTCCCCTCTCCGCCCCCTCTCGCTCTCTAATTGCGAGAGGCATCTTCAGTCTGCGCGCACCTGAAACAATAGTTGATAATAAAATTGTCAGAAAACTTAAGAAGCTCTTCAATTAGCATAACATGTAGCCAGAGCTTCACTTGGCTTATTTATTGATTTGTCTCAAATGTCGCCAAATTTCAATATTTATAAGCATACATCTATATATATATATATATAGATCTCGAAATGCCAGAGTTGAGCGTGTATTAGAATAGCACACACACAGCATTATGTGGGCAACTTGTTGTGCACACACACAATGCGCAAACATTTATAGAGTCATTTGCATATGCAGATTGCATAGATAAGAAAAGTTTCAAATAACTAGAATATAATGTGCGAACTTTCGTTTTATGGCTCGAACAAAATTTAAGAGCATTTCTTAGAAAAACAAAAATATATTCTTAACTCTTCTCAGGGTTTAATTTCTTAACCTAAAATTCTAGAAAAACGAAATAAATTTCTTATTATTTTTTGTTATACAGAGAGCATATTTTAAGGACAAAAGGAAGCTCTTGTCCTGAACCCAAAGTCAGTCGTTCGGTGCTTATTGTCCGATCTGTATGAAATTTAAATATGACATCCAAATGTTCGTAAATATCAAAGCAAGAAACTAACTTCCAAAAAGAAGTTTTGTGGGAAACGGGAAGAGGTATCAAAAAAGCGAAAGAATATTCTGTATCCAAATGATTATTTAGCGCCTAAAAGCTCCGAATTATGTTGAAAAAAAATGATTTAGATCAATTTCATCTAAGCAAAGCAATTTATCGAGGACTTAAGACAAAATTAATCTATGCTGGTAATGAAAGAAGCCAAGTTTTAAGATCCTTAGATTTACTTAGTTTTAGAGTTTATATTTGATAGTTCCCGTGATTGTCGTGTTTCTTAAGCTCAGGCAGGCTCAACCGGCACGGCTGAAAGAAACATTATGCCCTTCTTAATCATTAAGTACAGGGTATAGCAAATCAAGATGTTTTCGAGCGCATTTAAATAGATGCGTTACAAACATTGCTTTTAAGCTTCGCATATATATACATATATTCAAAATTTCTGTGCAATTTTTCTTTTCAAATGACATTTGATATTTAAAGATATTTCTTTACCTTTCTCGACAATTGCGAGGCGCATTAAGACGGCTATAAAGAAATGACAACAGATTATGTCCATTAAAATGACACAAACAATCGTGAAACGGGCATGGAAACGTTTTAAAATGCGCGATCGCAGCGATAAGTGCGAATCGAAACTTGTTTAAGGCCGTAGAACCAAAAAACTAAACACTGAGACAGGTGCCACACAGGTGGGTGGCTGTAGCAGCAGGACGTAGTCGCTGGATTTGATGTGCTAAACATAATTCTTGCATGCGTTAAGTCTCGGCTGGGGCATAAACAAAAGGCAGGCCTTCGCATCGTAAAACGACGATCATAATTATCACGACAGTTTATTCGATCTTTATCTTTATGGCCGGGCCCCAAGCGCCTGTTTGGCTGGTTTGTCGCTCCAACAAATTGTGGCAAAGAATGAACCAGTTATGTTTCGGCATTAATAATGAAAGTGATCTATACATGCATGGAATATATCTATTCTCTATACTCTGTAACATGAAAACAAGCAAATGAGGTATATACTGTCTAGATATGCCTCAATTGACGGAACTTCTAACTGTCTGAGAGAAAGACATCAATACGCAAAATAAGTTATCGGTTTTAATAGATATCAGATTTTGTTTTGGTGCTCGATAAATATCGTTTTTCAGCCTAGAGCTTGAGCATGTTTTTTTGAAAACATGAAAATATAAACATAGATTTACGCAACACTATAGAAAATTTCAATGTAAATATCGAAAATTGACTAAGTTATAGCAAAATCGATAAGTATCGATGTTCTGCTTCAGGGTTTTGATCAGAGTTTGCTGGAAATAATATCTAAAGACATGGGAATAACTATTAAAAAATCTTTCGATATCAACTCCGTTTTTTTGAGCTCGGACTTTTCGTTTCTGTAGATACAACATTTGATAAGATATAATATATCACTTCATTATGCGATAATCGATAAATATCGATTAGCAGCCTCAGTCTGCATGAGCTAAACTTGTAGCTTATATAGGCCAGAGACTAGAGAGAGAGGGAGAAAGCGAGAGAGTGAGAGTGAGAGGTAGAGAGACAGAGAGAGAAACATACGTTTTTCTATCACACGCTCAAATTTATTTAAAATGATCTCCCTTTCAATAAATATCGATTGACATCGGCCATTTGAGAAGCTGAAGAGGCCCGTTTATAAAAGTGAATTCTCGTCTCATATTTCCATCTCGCATCAAAATGCCTCTACAGGCTATCTGCTAGTCAACGCTTGCCACCTTCGACTGTGAATAAATAATCAGCTTGTGCTCTGCCCTTTTATTAGATGAGAATGGAATTGTAATGGGCGAATTCGGGTTTATAACCGCCGATGGAATCTACCACGTGACGGTCTATGCGACCGATGAGGAAGGCAAATTTCGGATAATTTCGATGAAAAACTATCCGTATGCGGGTCCCGTAGCGCCCAGTAAGTGCAGCACGTACAAGAATAATAATCGGGCATAATGTGAACTAATCCAAACTCGATGTAATGCAGAGAGCCCGCCGCCCACAACGACCACCGCGGCGACTGTGGCCAGGCATCACTTTAATACCGCCGCCTGCTCCGGCTGCTTTCTGAACAAATCACCGCCGGAAGCGACGCAGCCAGAAGCGATCCGTCCCAGCACCAAAACGGAGATACGCCCGCTCTCGCAGCCGCTGTCCCCGTCGTCGGCAGGTGAGTTCACAGGTCACACAGTTACAACCAGCACACAGACACACACACACAGCCAGGCGGCGATCCTTAAGGATTCCCTTGAACTGGCAAACGTGGCGCGGATTCCGACCGCTGCGGCGGCTGTGCAGCACGAGACCGAGCCTCAAGCAGCAGCTGCTGCTACTTTTTTCCCAGCTGCAGTTCCTGCTCCTGCGGCGGAGCCAGTTGTTGTGCGCAATGCAAAGACCGTGGCGCTGGCTCACGAAATAGCCAAGGTGCAGGCGCTGCGACCAGCACGAATCCTGAGTGGGAGTGCCACAACGACGCAGTCAAAGGAAGTGCCGGCTCCTAACACTGCCGCTGCTTTTGTGGCCAAGCTGGCGAGGATTCCGCCGGCGGCAGCGGGCGCGAAGGATTTACAGAGCTTTGCTGTGGACTCCCATGAGCCTCACATAGCAATAGCTGCTGCTGCTCCTGCTCCGGCCCAGGCTGCGCCTCCCACTCTGACTGCTGTGGTCGAGCCTGTGGATCTTGAAGTTGTGCGCAATGCAAAGACCGTAGCGTTGATTCACGAATTAGCCAAGGTGCAGGCATTGCGTCCGCCGAGTAGCCTAGAGGCCAATGGCCCAACGACGGAGCCAAAGGACTTACTTGCGGATGCGCCTGATGCCAGCTCTGCTGCTGTTCAAGCGGCAAATCTGGTAAGGATGCCGCCAAAGGATATGCAGAGCTTTGTTCTTGGCCACCATGATCCTCAAGCAGCATCGGCTACTGGTGCTCCCGCTGCTGCTCCAGCTCCTGCTCCTGCCCAGGCAGCTGCTCCTACCCCGGATGCTGCAATGGAGCCTGTGGATCTCGAAGTTGTGCGCAATGCAAAGACCGTAGCGTTGATTCACGAATTAGCCAAGGTGCAGGCATTGCGTCCGCCGAGTAGCCTGGAGGCCAATGGGCCAGCGACGGAGCCAAAGGATCTGCTAGCGGATGCGCCTGCACCCAGCTCTGCTGCTGTTCAAGCGGCAAATCTGGTCAGAACTCCGCCGGAAGCGAATGTCCTGCATGCGAGTGGCTCAGCGTCGCAACCACAGGAACTGCCTGCCCCTGGCTCTGCCGCTGCTTTGGTCGAACAGCTGGCGAGGATTCCGCCCGCAACAGCGGGCGCCAAGGATCTCAACAGTTTTGCTTTTGGTACGCTGCGACCCATTAGCTTGGCGGCAGCGCAGCGGTTAAATGAGGCGCAGCCTGTGAAGGAAACAGTTGCCGGAATCGTGCAACAGCAGAGGCAGGAAAATGTGCTCAGTTTCACGCCTTCGCTCGACAATCGTAGTCCGGAGGCACAGCCCGTTCTACACACCACACAAACAACACCAGCACACACACACACTGCCACACACACAAACACAGCCACACACCCACAGCTGCCAGCAAGTAAACAAATTAATCACGTATTTCAAATAATTTACATTTAAAATTCACCACAAAATCAAAAACTTGCAGCCGTTCAGTCGGGTCAGCAACCATTGAGTGCAGTTGTCAATGCGGCCGCAGGAGCGCTGCCAGCCTTGACAGGCACCCAGCAACAAGCAGCAGCAGGCGTCAAGCCACGTAAGCCCAGCAAAACACCAATTCGTTGAGTTTTTTTTTTGTTTATTAACAAGCATTCGCAGCCTTAGCAGACGGCAAGAGAGCGCAACAACCAACAGGCAGCAGCAGCTCAGCAGGTTCCAAGCCAAGTAAGCGTAGACACATACCATTCGTTAAGTTGAATGTATATTAATAGAACATATGTAGACACAGTTGCAGCTCTGCCAGCCGTGACAGCAACCAAGCAGCAAAGTCAACCGTCAAGCAGCGGCACAACAAGTAACAATTCACCACATCAGCCTGGACAGCAACCCGATTCGTTAAGTGCAACAGCAAAAGCTTTGCTTACAAAACCCACCTCCGCAAAGACAGCAACCAATGTGGGAGCGGTTGGTGAACCCGGACTCACAGGCGATTTGTACAAATTCAAATATCTATTGGACTATAATGGACACGAGGAGACGGGCAGCCGGAACGGCGATAAAGTGGGCAACTATTTTGCCATCGGCGAGGATGCGGTGGAGCGTGTCGTCGAATATATTGCCAATGAGTTTGGCTTCCAGCCGCACATTAGCTGGCGCAAACTGGAGGGCAAGGAGGCGGCGCTGCCCGATGAGAACTCGCTGAAGCACTACGAATTCAAGTGGTTCAACAAGGCAACCCAATAATTAATTAATCTAATAAGTAAATTTATAAATTCAGTAAAAAAAAAAAATACCCTGTACTTATGGAGAATGAATTGAAAAGAGTTGTTGTTGTTGTTCTTGAATTGGGTTTTGTTTTTTTTTTTTTTTGACTTTTTTTATTTTTGTTAAAGGTATTCCACTTAAATCAACTTAACGCTTAATGGGATCGGGAAGAGGGGGGCGGGGGTAGGGGTACACAATGTGGGGCGGTTGTCTATTATACTTAGTTATATAATATTTTGTAAAGTTACATTCAGAATTTAAAAATTGTATACATTTAGATGTAGCATAAAGTTGCATATCTCAATTACACACGCACATTTAAAATTACATAAGTACATTTATAAGTATCGATACTTTTGCTACCCACTGCAAATGGATAGAAGGGGCTGTATACATATACATATACATATATATATTAATTTTTTTAATATTATTGAATTTGCGCTTAAAAAGTTCTAAATATTTTTTATACACACAGAACTCTTTTTTGTTTTCGTGTTTAAGACTAAGATTAACTGTTGTTGTTTTTTTTTTTCAGATAATGCATCATGTTAGATGTTTAGGTTATTTAAAAATTATTCAAGAGTTTTAACTGTACAATCAACTATCACAGTCAACCATATCGAACTGATAAATAACGCCCAAGTTATATAATTAGCAAAAAAAAAAAAAAATGTATAGAAATCAAAGGTTAATGAAAATGAAAACATGTGAAAAGAATCTAGACGAAAGTGCTCGACTAGTTGATACCCTGTACCAGGCATAGGTGCTTGCCTTGCCACATCTGGCATATACCCCACTACCCAGCAGGTACAGGGTATACGAGTATGAACTCCCATGCATTCTTAGATCTGTATGCTATATAATTTTTGGTATTTACAGTTCGCCAACAAACACTAAACGAGAGTTTCTTTTTCTATGAAGCGAAGAACTATCGATAATTGGTTATCGATTCAGCTTAGAATTACGAACTACGCTTTTATTTGTTGTTTGAAGAAATACATAGATTGAATGATCGTTTAAGACCTGCTTATCCCTTACTATTAACAAGTGGCAAATGCTAACAACAATTCAAAATATCCCATATATACTTAGTTTATATATATATGTGTGTGTGTGTTCCGGAAATCGTCTTAGCTTACAATCGAGTATTTATACTAGAACAATTCAGAAGTTTTGCAAATTGTTTTCGTACTGGAAAACGCGTTTTGTTTGATTCTCATATGTATATATTTAGGCTTAAGTTAAGAGTTCAACTTACGGCAACAACGTTAACTAAAATAGTCTAAAGACACACGCACACACACATTCACACACACACGGACACATTTATCGCATCTGAATGATATTTACATATACATACGTAGACTTATGTCTTTTGTTACTGATCAAGAATATATACATATATAGCGTCGGAAATGAATTCCGCAATTTACCTCTGCTTGGGCATAAAGTTCTTAATTTAAGCCCAGATAATAGAATTATAATCGAAACCGAAATTTTTACTGTAATTTCCCTATGTGATGAATACGTTCTAGCCAATTCCACCTGCAAGCGTGGAAAATTGACGGAAAAGGGTTGCTACTTTTGGTTTTACCAAGTGATTTTCCTAAAATTTATTCTTCAATATTTTTGTAAATTTCTTTCGAGACGTTTTTCACACTTTCCGGCAAATCCACCCTGCTTCGTGAAAATGTATATCAAAGGCATTTTGGACAATAAACCGAATATTAATAGAAAATAATAGTTTAATTGCCTCAAATCTAAAGCTTAAGATTTGTTCCGGGTCAAGGTCAGCTAATATATGCTTATATAATCTGATTATTGGCTTGACATAATTTTCGGACCTTTATAAATTGAGCTGCAAATCGATTCGTTCACAGAGTTTCGTAACTAACGTGCGGAGCTAAAACGCCTCGTTTAACTTTTCCTATTAACAAATAAATAAAGCGCAAATGAAGAAAGCAAATTTGTTCATATTCAACGCGAAGGCTGAGCCAAGATGATGAGGTGGATATTATTGGTGTTGAGTGTCTCGATGAGCCTAGCTCTAGTTTGCGGAAATGTCGACTGGTGCACGCCGAATGGCAAGGCTTGCATTTATGACAACAAGTGCTGCAGCCGAAAGTGCAATGTCTACGGCACGTGCAGCGACAGATGGAGTGTTCCCTATAACCAAACAACAACATTTCCTCCATTGCTGCAATGAGCTACTTAATAAACAGAATGCCGAATACAAGCATCACTGATTAAATATAAAGAATGTATATTAATATATGTGCATATATAAATATACGAACTGTCACTTTCCGGTTTTATTTGGTGGAAGTTTTGTGCTTTTAATTTTAGATTTCCATCTTCCACCCATTTTCCACCTGTGAATTTCCATTTTTCAACCGCTTAACCTGCAATTCCAGGAATTTTTTTAAATCGATTTTTTATATATTTGAAAACAAGTTGGAAGCTGACCGAATTTAGTTAAATGTTGCTCTTGAAATTGTTTGAACCGGAAACTTTCAGCACAACATATTTAACACCCATTTCCACCAAGGCAAGTGGATTTGCTGAAATGTGTGAAGAATCTCTCAAATGAATTCTGACAAACAAATTTGAAACTGGGTTTGAGATTGTTCAATTTATAAAAAAAACTTGCATGCAACTGTTTTCCACTATTTTTCCACACTTGCGGGTGGAAACACATAAGGTAACTATAGTAAAAATCGGTTGATCAGTTCGTCAGTCAGGATAAAAATTTGTGTATATATATAGACATATATTCTGGATCAGCAGTTTTTGACTGGTTCTTGAGCTAATTGCTATGAGTAAAATCCGCTGTTTTCTGGTTTTTGTTTTTGTTTTTGTTTTTCTGTTTTAATTTTCTTTTGTTTTCTTCTGGTGGTTTTGGTTGCACTTACAATAAAAACGTCGCCTGCTCGCCCTTCATGTCCAGATAGTCGTACAGTGTCCGTTCGCTGCCGGCGCCATAGCTGCCGGGATATGCGTGACTGCCGATGCCGACGCTGCCGTCCGGCGCTGCGTCGGCGGGCGTGGCCGCTGGCGGTGGCGGACCGGCGCCCAGACTCAGCCCGAACTTTTCCAGGTGGCATCATTTGAGCAGCGTCGGCAGGCTGCTGTTCATCAGCCGATTGCCCACGACCAGCGAATTGAGCGTCGAATTGCTGCCGCCCACGCCCACGCCGACGCCGACGCCCACACCGACGCCCATGCTCATGCCGTGTACTCCGAGTCCGAAGCCAGCGCTGGCATGTGCCGGAGCCGCATTCAGATTCTGGCCCAGACTGGCCTCCAAATGCGACTGTCCCGCATTCGGATTGCTGCCGCCGCTGTTGTTGCTGTTGTTGTTGTTGGCGGTGGTGTTGTTGTTGTTGTTGTTGCTGCTGCTGCTGCTGGTGGTGCTGGTGGTGCCGCCGCCGCTGCCGCCGCCGCCGCTGGCAAAGCCGCTCATAATGCCAGCGCCGCCGCTAACCGCGCTGCTGGCACCGGCAGCGCCAGCGGCGGCATTGCTCTCATATTATGATGGTCATGCGTAGTGAGGATAGGAGCTGAGATGCGGCGCCACATGCGAGGGCGTCACATGGCTCATCGAGTGCGGCTGATACAGATTTGTTGCCGGACTGCCCCAGTTGCCCCACGAGGCGGCCGTCGGAAATATGGAGGCTGCAAGGCAACAATTCAAATCGGTTCATAAATGGAACCCAAACCAAGTAACCTTTTGCCACACCCACCTGAGGACGAGGTCATGCCGTGATGCGGACTCATAAACGAGCTGAGCTTGGCGCTGTGATGATATGGCGTCATGAACAGATCGCTCTGATACTTGTAGGTGGGATCGCTGGCCGCCGGCTGTGTGGCCGCCGCCAGGCCCTGGAAATCGAATTTGTACGCATAGCGCTTGCCATGCACCTTGGTCATGATGTTCTTGTCATAATAATATCTGCAAATATGGAGAGTGCAGCAAAATACATTGATAACTGGCTAGGGCGAAGCATTTGTAGATCACAGAAAATTAAATCAAAATAATTAAATTTAATAACGCATAAGATATCGATATAATCTAGTTGGTATTATAAGTTCTTATAAGTTCTAAGATATTCTCAAAAAAAAAATGATTGCAAAATTGTTTCTTTCTATTTTTATCGGGTATTATGCATTATTATCCGTTTTTATCTATTATTAGCCATAATTATCGCTTGTTTACCGATTATTATTGTTTGTTATCGATGTCTTTTCGATTTTTATTTATTATCGATTATTATGCATAGACTTTCCATTCTTATCGCTTATATTGACTTATTATCGGCGGTTATCGATTTATTTTTAATTGTTATCAATTTCGTATATCTTGTTATCGATTCTTATCGATTGTTATCAATTTCATAAAAGCGACTTGCCTCGCTGATGATTTATAGCAAATCTTTCAAAACTCTCGCTCATTCCGCAAATGTTAAAATCATCTCGCTTCCCAAAGCTATCTCTTATTAAATTTCAACAATACTAGGCCTGCCCTTAGGACCATTCGTTAGAAAATGTTTCCCTGTAACAAATCACAGAACGTCATTTTTCGGTAGTGTTATGTTTGCTGCTGCCAATGTGGGAAAGCCAAACAAAAGACTGAGCGTATAAATAATTACAAAATAATGCGCGCTTTATGCGTTTTAAGTTAATTTGCTGACATTAGGCGATTTTAGTGCTAGACTTTGGCCAAACAGCCCAACCACCCCGACTTGCCCTCAATCTCTGGCCCCGCAATTAAATAGCAAACGCCTTGCGCATAAACTCAAACAGAAATATTTCGTGGCTCGAGGCCAAGCCAAATTGCTTGGGCAGACAGCCAAGCAGCGGGCGGGCGGGCGTTGGCCAGGCGTGGGGGTAGACAAGACAGACGATTGCCCAAAAATTACTGTTTGCTTTGCATGGGCAGCCCGAAAAGTGATTAAGTCAGCTGCGTACTGGGTAAACTAAACAAATAACTGAGCGATCTGTGATAAACTACACTTATAAAACAGGAGGATGCGGGTTCAATGTCAGCTAAGGTCACAGCTACCATGTTATAACAAAAGTAAAGTTAATATTTAAAAACTACTTTTATTCGCTTACCAAGTTTACAGAACATTTTTTAATACCTCATGCTTTTACGTATCGCTCTTCTATGCAATTCTCATGAATTCAACTTCAATTCTCTCACTCCCCCCTATTAATTATACCCTATCTCTCTCTCTCTCTTGCTCTCTCTCTCTCTCTGGCTCTCTCTCTCTTTCTCTCTCTGGCTCTCTCTTGCTCTCTCTTGCTCTCTCTCACTCTCTTACTCATATTGATTCTCTTTTTGAGTCGAACTTACTAACTTTCTTTTTCTTTTGTCTTTCAGCGAATGTTTGGGTAAGTCCACTTTAACATTTATATTTCGAAATTAAACCAAATTTGCAAATTTGAACACGGTTCCCAGCATTAATAATAAGCTTAAAGAAATGTATTTTGATTTCAATATCGTTTTTTCATACATTTTTTTTTAAAAGGTAACGCTCCCAATATATATATGTATGCTCGGCTAATTATATGCTAGCGGGTATACCCCTTGTCCAAATAGGTTCAAATTGTAGATGAATTTCGACTAAAAATTACGTTCCCAGATTTAAATGCAAGTTTAATGTAGATACCAAAGCATGACGAAACAACCTAATCTCGTGAAATTCGGTTGAGTTTTGACCGAGTTATGGGGGTGGGAAATTTTGACCCATGTCTATATAGGATACGAAGGGGTGAAGCACGGCCTTGTCTATAATGTTTTCAGATTCTATAGATCGGATATATATATATATTGTTTATGTAAGCTAACTTTAAGAAACTGTCTTTAGTTCGCGTTTCATTAAATGCCGTCCCTTTGCCTTTAATTATTAATGCATTCAAATTAGCATAATTATGTGAAGATCTGCGCAGAAATATTTATTCAAGTTTTGTGCTTTTATTCGTTTATTGCCATTTTATTGCACATATCGAATTTGGTTTATGCGACGCTTTTGTCTCGCAGCAGACAAAAACATGCAAATTAATTTAAATTTCAATGCGCACAGTAATTTTTTTTTTTTAAATTTATTTTCACTTTTTTCTCTGCGCTATTGGCCATAAATTATGCCAATTAATGGCATAAATTAAAGGCAGCGGCAAAAGACAAAAGCGTATTCTTTTGCCCCCTTTGATGGACTGTTGAGGGGGGAAGGGGGTAGGTGGGCGGGGTGTGTGAGAGCAAACAATCAGAAGCAATCAATGGCTGCTGATGGACGCGGGGCACAAAGCACACAATCAGCGAGACAAACAGCAGAGCAAAAAGGATTAAAGTAAAAGCCATTTACACGCAGTGTATATATGTGTGTGATTGTGTATGTGTGTGTGTGTGTGTGTGTGTGTGTGTGTGTGTATGGCAGGCCAAGTGGCCAACAAAAGGGCAGCCGGCTGTGAATAAACAAGGCAAATGAAGCATTAAAGCACTTGTCCTTGTTGTCTTTATGTGGCAAGCATCTACATGGCTGCTCAGTTTTCATTTACACACACGCACATACACTCACACGCCCACACACACACACACACACACACACATGCGAACACACACTTGAAGATATTTGCAGCATACTTTGCAGCGCTCAGATTTCTTAGCACACATGAAAGCAGAGACGACGACGGCGACGGCGACTGCGTTCAATTGAGTTGAAATGTGTGAAAAATACTACAAAAAAAAAAGTATTCTTCTAAAATAATATCTCTGCCGAATATCAAATACCCTTACAGACATAATAAGGCTATATAAAGAGGCCTTTAGCTGCAATTAACATCTCAAGACAAGCCTGACTCTATAATACAGAATATATTTTGGCTTTTTGTAAGGATCAAAGATAATTTATCTTAAATCTTTTTATTTTTAAACTGCTTGTAACGCCATGTTGCTAACTGATAACTGAAGAAACTAAATTTATATCTAATAGTTTTTATAAAAATTATATATATATATATAGATATACCGACTATATGAAATCATAGTGATGCAGTATATGTTTCTAATCTTAATAATACTTTGAAACTAATAATAAGTGTTCGCTTTGTGACAATATTATAATACCCGCTGGTAGGGTATTCAAAAAGGATAACATTCAGTAGACAGACAAAGAGGCGGGCAGACAGAGAGACAGGCGGGCAGGCATAGGACGTGTTGACGCTTCCGCACATCATCAAACAAAAAAAAGGCTTTCCTTTGCTTTGTTGTCGCTTATCCAACACTTTTTACATTTATTTACATGTTGATTGTCTGCCTGTGTGTGTGTGTGTGTGTCTATTGCAAATTGGCTGCGAGAATTCTTCCACTTGAATTGTCAGCTTCTCCTTCATTGGCACTCATTGGCCCTGGCCCGCCGCCTGATTGCAATTGACAGTTTCAAGAAGCGAATCAGAAGAATAAAAAAAAGGGTTGCCACGTCACGTTTGCACAATTCTTCAGAGCTGGCGCTGTGTGCTTAGCAAATTGACCGTTGCGCAAATATTTAAATAGTTGTGCATATGTTTCTGGCAACTCTGCACCAAACCCAACAGTTGTCCAGGCCAGGGCTGGGTCAGGCCAGGGCAGGGGCAGGAATGGGTCAGGCATTGGGACGGAGGCCAGTGTTGTGTAACGTTGGGTCAGCAATCACATTTGCAGCAATTAGATTGCCAGATTTCATATTTTATTGGCATTTTTGATTACATTTTCGGGCCGAAAGCAATTTCATATTGAATTTCTTGCGAGGGACACGCCCACAGTGCGGTACAGTGTAGGTAAACGTTCGCTTATGTTGTTATTTTATCATCCTCTTATTCGGTATTTTCTGCGCATTTAGTGGACCAATTGTTGGGAAAGCAGCTAATCAGCCTCGAATCGAATCAATCTTTATTGATGAGACTCTCCGATCAGAATTGGGCTCGTGTTGAGCACAAATTGCACACATGCCCACATTTTTGGCCTGTCCCATAGATAAACTGTGCGTACTTGGACTAATTAGCAGCACTTGAGCGCACAAAACAAGAGAAAACAACAAAAAAAAAACCGAGGATAAACTAAAAACAACCCCTAAAATTAAATAGAAATATGTCATATGTCTGTTGCTTACCTTAAGGCGCGACTCAGCTTGTCGTAGTTCATGTTGGGCTTGGATTTGCGCTCGCCCCAGCGGCGGGCGACCTCATCGGGATCGGTTAGCTTGAACTCGCCATTGGTGCCCTCCCAGGTAATGCAGCTGGCATTGTTGGAGTCCGACAGCAGCTCGAGCAGGAACTGCCATAATTGTATCTGTCCCGAGCCTGTAAGCAGAAAGCGTAGAAGAATTTATAACGTGCACGTATGTATATAATAGAAATATAAAAGCATTCTTAATGCTCGTATTTTGCCAGCCTAAATGTCCGTCAAAAGAGCATATCCTTTAGTCTAAGTCCTGCTGCTGCCAGCAGGCATGGAATTATGTAACTTTGAGTGCGCCTCGTGGCCAAAAACTAAGCATTTTGTGGCATGCAAAAGTGCCATAAAGCATTTCCGACACGGCGACGCCGACGGCGACCTCTTGACCGCGACCGGCATCTCCACTAGCCAGCAGGCTTACCCGATTTATTTATGTAATATAACAACTCGATAAATTAGCGGAGACTTGAACGTTGTGGAAAAGTTTTTGGTAATAAGTTCAAGCCAAAGGAAATGACATTGCATGTAAGTGAAATGTAAGACGGCATATCATGTATGTGTTAATAATATATGTTAATATCTAGTATTATATATGAAAAATGCTAGAGCGGAAAAGCCCTTCTTACTATCACAAATGGGGAAATAGTTTTTAAGTTTGAAGGGGCCTTAGTGCATGGCAACGCTTTTTCAAAAATATGGCAACACTTTGTGGAAGTTCAATATTTTAAGAGCTCTTGTGTAGTTGTTCATGGCAAAGATTTTATCATTTAGAAGAGTGGAAACTCCGCATGCTTATGTGCATGTTAAATATTTACCAGGCTGAAAGTTATCCCTCTAGCTTGCACAGACAACCTGAGTTGATACTATATAAGCAAAAATTCCAAAGCGAAAATCGTTTTTCATATTTTATATAAATAGGAAAAATGTTCAATTCAAATGGGATTTACTGCGAGAAAATTGACATGAAGTTAAACTGTCAAATGGGTTTTGTATACAAACGGGGTTGACGTAGGTTGACATGTAGCTAAACTGTGTTTTATTTTTGAAAAAATAAACACGATATACAAATTTAAGTTACCGTTATTAAATAGGTGTTGGGCAAGCAGTTGATTGTTTAATAAGGTGACAGCTCTGCATATTTATCTACATGTCAAATATTTAGCAGCTAGATTATAAGCTACCAAAAGTTAGCTTTGCTTCAAATAACGAAAACGCGCTTTACATCATTCCAAATAAATTTCGAAATTTCTAATGCTATTAAAGTTCATGTCAAGCTCAAGATATGCGTTCTGGCTCCTTAACTCGCAGTTAGTTAGCTCTCTCTACAATTCAGAGATTCGCTCAACCGTTTCATGTGCGCATCTTCAGTTGACCTTTGGCTTTTTAGCAGCTCGAATCCCAATTGCCCAATGTCGTCGCGTTCATTATGCAATAATATATTTATGAGTATACTTTGATTTTTCCTTTGTGCGTGCTGAAACATTTACAATATTATTATTTTCGCATTGTGCAAACGATTCGGCACGCATTCAACGCAGACATCATAAATCGCTTAATCATTTGGCAATTAGGCCCAGCCCCAGAACAAAGTCCAACGTTTTCTCTCTGTGCCCTGTCAAAAAATAAAACAGAAAAGAACACACACACACAAAGGGTGAGGGTGTGGGCAAGTCTGCAGGGGATGAAAAACCTGACAGCCCTGGGAAGTTAAGGTTGAGTTTCCTTTTTTTTTTTTTTGGGTGGTGGCTTTAGCTGTTTGTTCATGTGTGAGAAACGTCATGAATATTGCGTTAATTGCAAATCATGGTCAAGAGAATGTGTTAAGTGCCAACACGACGACGACAAGGATGATGTTGATGATGACAACGATAGGAATGAATGATAACTCAACCGGTTGAACAGTGTCCAGTCGAAGGCGTGGCCAGCAATTGACACGCTATTAAGTCACAATAATAGACAGAAGGTGATCCATTTTCACAGGAAAACGAACTGCTAATTGACATGAAGTTAACCTGCAGTCAAGCATTTGATCAAGCCATAAGAAACAAAAACTTAAGTGGTTTAAAAGATATCTTTTTCACAGCTTAGCCCCTAGATTAATTTTGCTTCCTAGGTAATTTAACACAACAAAAATAAAATATCTTTAACCTTAAAAATATATATAAGCCAAAGATTTGATACCCTTGCAAGCGGCTCGAATTTGCAGAGTTTATTGAAATATCTTTGAAAACAGAATATTTTGCCATAAAAGATCCTACCTATCCACCATATAGCTGTCTATAGCAGCTATATTATATAGTGGCATTTACATTTAGTTTATTTAGTGTCCTCCATACATCAAGTTATAAAATTAGATGCAGAAAGCCTAATAAGAATACAAAATTTTCTTCATCAACCATGATATTTGTCCTTGCATAAATAACTCAGGCGAAACCCAACCAATTTTGAGTCTTGGCTTCTCGCCCAGATTCTGCATTCCAAAACTTACAAATTAAAACTTTTCTTGGACATTCTTTTGGCCATAAAAAAGTAGCTGCTAGCTTTTGCCCTTTTTTTTTTCTTTTGGCCAATTGGCGGGGCAATTTGGCAACGAAGGCGTCGGCGCCGCCTCTGAGAAATGTTAATTTAATATATTAAGCGAAAAAGGCGAAAAAAAGTGGAAAAGCTAAGTAATTAGCTTGAGGAGTCATGGAAAATGTGGAAATGTTGCTTTGATGTGCCGACTGAGGCTGCACTTGTTCCTTTTTTTTTCTTTCTTTTTTTAATTACAAACTAGTTTGTGTGCTGCAGCCTGGTAATTATGTCACGACTGGAGCAGCAGCTAGTTTTAGGGGTTTTTCTCGCTAGTAGTTTGTTTCTTTTTTTTTTTACACTGTTTTGGTTGCATGCACAACTTGCAGCTGTGTCTGAGCCGGGCGCATGCAAATGAGGCACATGGCAGGGAGGGCGGAGAAGGGCGAGAGGCGCGATTCTTGCAGCTTGCAGGCAGGCCGAGACCGGACTTGGCTAACAAAGCGGTTCCGTGTCCAGAGGAAGCCATAATTAATCAAAAACAGCATTTTTGCCACCCAAAAAGCGAAAGCGCACAGCCATGTATATGTGTGTGTGTGTGTGTGTGGAGTGTGTATATGTGTGTGTGTTTCTCAGTGAGCTTTTGCGATTAAATTCAAGTTGAAGTCAACTTGGCAACGGCCTAAGCCTAAACAACAAACACAACACGCAGCTTAAGCTTGGAAGAGAGACAGAATAGACCCAGTGAGAAAGAGAGAAAGAGAGACAGAGAGAGAGAGAGAGAGAGAGAGAGTGTTTGAAGGCGGGAGCAATGGCACTCGGCTCGTGTAAATGTCGCGCCGGAAAATGTTGGGCGTCTGAGTTTTTATGCTAATTCCGTTTCAAGCGCCATGTTTGGGGCGACGCTTGTGGGCGTGGAGGGGTTGATTATTTTTAGGTAATGAGGGGGGGGCGGGGTGGCTCAACACCCCAAACGGCGTGGCCAACAATGGCGGCAAAGCTCATCCTGCCGCAGGATCAATAAAAATTATTGATTTTCCTCAACAACTTTCATTGCATGACGGTCAAATTCAATTCCAAATTAAAGTTAGTCGAATGTTGAATGCAATTTAGAATTTATTAGCAGCGTGTTGTGCACAATTGTGTAGTAGAGCTGAAAATATGACCAGAATCGATAGTTACGATAGGCCATTTCGAAAATATTCGATAGTCATTCTAGTCTTGTGCCTTATAATTTTAAGAAATTAAGAAATAAATACTTTAAAATAAGTTGTATCCATATTTTTTTATTAAGTAATCGATAAAAATATCGGAAATTTTAGAAAAAGGTATTCAAGCCTTGGCCCTAATGTTAAAATTAGTAAAGAAGTTAAATAAAAAACACTTTAAATTATTATCAAATCGATAATATTTACAAACAGAAAGAGCAGTAAGAATCAAAATGATCGATAAAAGCTCGATAGCTGAAAACGAATCAGTTTAATGAAGTTGAGATAAAATAGTTGATAGATAACCCAGCTCTAAGATATATCTATATACTATTATTATAGGTATAATAAAAAATATATTATTATCGATAACAACCTCACAACTGAATGCATTTATAAAACAGATATATATATAATCTAGCAGTTCAATGATATACTACATCATCTCGCTTTAAAACTCGTCCTCCTCACATTTAACTGATTTTTGTATGCTTGGGAACATTTGAGCTGCACTTTGGCTATTAATCATAAGTGATAAATGCACACCTACTTTTTAACCCTTTGTTAAACCGTTTTTTAAAAACTAGAAAGTCAGCTCTTGGGCGCGTGCTGAACAGACAACTGCAAACTGCAAAAGTCAAAAAGTTGGGTAGAACGAAAGAAGAAAAAAAACTGAAATAAAATGAAAAATAATTGCCTGGCCACGCCCACAGCGTCGCTTAGACACACGCATGCGATATGTGGCAAATAATAAATTCTTACCGAAAAAACACCTTTCGCATAAATTAGAAAAGTGTAAAGCCCGTATCCAGGGTTCAGCATTTGCTCTGTGCATGCAATGGGTTAATTTGTTAGGGCGCGCCGCTGACTAACCGAATCTCGGCCAGAAATTGATATGATAATGAAGTGCAACCAGGGGGGGGGGGAGCGAGTGGCAGACACGGGTCTTGTTTTGTTTTTGTCCTTAATCAACTTAATCTTAGCACCTGTATCTTTATGCTTTTGTGATTTTCACTCACCTGAGCTGGCCAGCCTGCTGCTGGTGGGTCCGAACATTTGATATGGATCTGCAAAGAGGGTGGCAAGACATTAGTTGTTTTTTTTTTTTTTGTCGACTCCAACTCGATTTGTTTTAGTGCACTTTATGCAAATGTTAATGAAGGACCTGCCAAAACGGAATACATTATATTCTGTGTGAGGGCGAGAGCTCGAAAAAAAAAAAGAATTGTACGTGGGCAAGTTACGTTTCCGCCGATGAAATGAAATGCATTACCGAAACTGCACTTACACACATACAGAAACGCACACACACACACACAGTCGCATATCCATTTCACTTATTATCCGGCGCGCGTTTCCTGCCAGCGCAGCGACTGAGCCAAAATGCTAGCATACTTTCAGGCGCGGCGCCTAGCTAAAGGTTAGACTGTTGCCAACAGCATCTTCCACGCAGCACAATTGTCCATAATTCGCATCATTCAGAAAATGCATATACATATATCTAGATATACATATATATTCATTAGCAAGCATTGTTTTTTATACCCCATTGGAAGAGGCTCAAAAAGGGAATCATATTTGTCAGCGAATGTATGTAACGGGCGGAAGGAAGCTTTTCCGAAGCCATATCCCATTTATAGATTCTTTTTCAATAGAAAAAGTCGGTCTATGGAAGAACTTCCAACTTGAAACTTGAGAGACGTGAAATGATAAATATACATTCTTCTCTATCAGACGCAGTTAGAGTTTATCATTATATCGATAAATATCGATCTTGAGACTTGCTTTTTAACTCGACTCAACTCGAGAATTATAAAAGCCAGATACTGCAAACTTGGTATGTAGCTTCTCGTGTAGCATGCACAGCTAAGGAAAATAACACTTTATGCATATCAGATGCTCAGACTTAAAGCTTAAGCTTTGCGCTCAGGTATACACACACTTTTGTATGCCTTACTCAAGCCCTGAAAATTTCCTAATGATCGGATAATAAACATATGAGTTACCTGGGTTAGTTTTCTAAAGGCAAGAGGAAGTATATTTCTAAAAAGAAGCCTCTGTAAAAGATGTTCCAGGGTATCTCCTAGCCGTGCACTGCCGTCTAGAACGCTCTGCTTTTGTTTTCTCCGGAGCTATTGTTCGCGCGCTCTGAACAATTAAATGCGCCGCATAAACAGGACCGACGGCAACTTTGGCAGGCCGACTGACTGGCTGGCTGGCTGGCTGGCTGGCTGGCACGCGCCTTGTTCGGCCACGGCCGTCAAATTTGACAGCAAAAATATAAAAAAAAACAAGAGGCAGAAGCAGAAAAGCAAGCCAAGTTCTCGGCATCGTTTTGAGTGCGTCTGGGGCTGCGCTCTAATTGAGAATCCTTTATGGCATTTCAATTGTTTCCATTACGCTTCAATTCGAATGGCGAATGCGAATGTGAATACGAATGCGAATGTGCCGCACTTTTGTTTCCATTCCAGCTCAAGTGGCGTATTTAAGGTTTGATTTGCGACAGTATTTTCCAAAAGGGGATTTTACAACACTTTAAAAGAGTAAGGCTGGGGTAAAAGGACATAACGCACGACTGGCGGTCGCACACTCCGACTCTGGAGTGGACTTGGCATTGAGTGGTGGTATTTGTTTCAAAAATACAAAAAATCGAAAAACCAGTGCCCGAAACTCGAGAGGCACTTGCAGCGTGCGCACATTTCAAACTTTATTAGTGTTGGTAAACAGCCAACAGCCTCGCTGGCTACGTCGTGTTTATGTTTGAGTTTGGGCTAAACAAAGCGGCACGTGAGCTCAAGCACCTTCTCTTAATATGCCTTTAATGCATCCAAATAGCGCAAGGTACTTAACTTTTTTTTTTATTTTCATTTTTGTTTTTTACCTGTATATAGGGGATATATAATAGTACTCACCAGGTTGCCGTAGTTGTGTGTGCGGATCATGTTTAATACTCAAAGCATTCGAGCTGTAGCCTGCAAATATTGAACACAAATTTGAGTTGTATTAGAAATGAATCTATTGGGAAAGTAAATATATATTAAACATTCAAGAAAATTAAATTTAACAGAGAGTAGAATCAGGGATACAGAATATAGAACGTAAACAGATTTAAAAGATGAGAGAGATGAGCTTCTAGCCAAGAAAGTTAATAAATGTTTGTAATGTGCATTAACAGACAAATAAGCTGGGTCTATCTATCTCCCCATCCTCAAATTATAAATGTTACTCCTAGAAAATTTTATATTTTAAGCTGTCTCCGATTTATTTAACTATCTATCTACAACATCCTCTCCCCAATTTGAATCGAATATTTTAAGTCTTAAGTGCAGATCTAAGCTCTCTTAGATTTTCAGATTGTTAGTGAAGGGACAAATATATTGATTTTAATATATTTAAAAACTCAAAATTTTTGGGCTCGAGCTGTTCGAGTCGAGTCAAAAAAACAAGCTCGATTCCAACGCGAACTATTTCGATTGTACTCGAGCTCATCGTACATACATGTATTACCTCACAAATATTTCAGCACACAGTTAGCTCGAACATGTTGCTGACTCGAGCAGTTCGAACTTCGTTTGCAATGAATATCTTGAGTCTTGTTCGATCGTTTGTTTGAGCACGGATTAGATGGATAATCGAAAGACAAGTCTGTCGAATTTGTTACCAACAAATTAACCGATGCAGAGGCTCTATCTGATAAGTGTTTGCGTCGTCTTGCATAAATCTCATTAGCCTGTTTGATGGAAAGCTAGCCAGGCGTAAAGTCAACCAGTTGTCAGTTAATATTGTGTAACCCATAACACTTGTCATTTCAACACAATCAAAGGCATCAAATTCAGCCGCAGCACAAACATTATCATAGTTCTGTCATCAAAGCAAATCACAGCTCAAAGGCTATGAAGGACGAGGAGAAGGAGGGGGTGATGTGATATGAGCAATCGCCTCGCCAGCGTCGGGCTCTTTCATTTTAATGGAATATGATTGTGTGGCAGGCAAAACAATGCCGCTGGCAATTCAATTTAAAATGCGATGAGATCTCTGCAGAGACAGAGAGAGAGAGAGGGGAGAGAGAGAGGGGAGAGAGTGTCAAAAAGCGTTGAAAGTTGCGGCAAACTTCACGCTCCATACAAATTAAAGCCGCAGGCAAAGAACTGCGGGCCAGGGGCATGGCTGAGTGCTTGTGCACCGCCCGCTGTTGTTTTCGTTGTCACTCATTGTGCAAAAAGTACAACAAAAAATATCTAGAGAAAAGGAGAAAGACTGAGTGAGAGAATAGGAGAGAGAGAGAGAGAGAGAGGGAGGAGGAGGAGAGGTACAAGTTTTCTCTGTGACATTTTGGGTTTTACGCTTTTGCGTGGCCACTCAACTGCGAAGCGCACAAAAGATGCCCGATTGCATTTGAGCGGGGCGAGGGGGTGGTAGGTTAGAATTTGTAAGGGCGGGGAGGGGTGGTTGGGTTGGGTTGGACTTTCTGTTGTCAGCGCTTGGCTGGCAGCTAAACAGGCGCAGCCAAGCTGAAACTTCATGTTAAAACGCTTTACAGTTTGTCGCTCAGATTTGTAGCCGCAAGGCAAAGATCGTGCGAAAGTTTTTGTTTTTGTTTTATCCTGCTTAAGGGCATTAAAGGGTATGTGCTGCGCATAGGAGAAGACATCGGCGATTAGCTGCCAATACGAATAACTAGACTAAACTGGGCATCTATTGGTTAAACCAGGCTCTTTTCATATGAGCTAACCTCCTCCCTGTAATCTTATCCTTATCCTTACGATCAAACCTATCCTTATCCTAACTATAATTGCGAACTACCCTATCCTGATCGTTATTATAACTTAACCTTAACTACATCAAAGAACTATATCGCATAGCTCTAGAAACATAATGGATCTATGGAAAAGTGTTTTGTTTCTTCTGCTAGCTTTATCCAACTTATCAATTGCAAGCCGCGTTAATGCCTTCACATATCTGCCAAGTCTCAAGCACCAATTCTAGCTAATTTTATTTCCTTTTAAATTGTTAGTGGCTTTCCTAACTAGCCTAATGAGCAGGTTCTTCAGTTTGGCCCAAGAGTCAGACCCTATGCGTGTCTTCACGCTTCATTTGACACCCCTTCGCCACGTCCCGGACTGACTTTTGGCTGACAGGGACACGTGTAGGCAACACCTTTTCGATTTTACATTTCATTTTTTGCTTTTTTCCCATTCAGGCTTGTTGCGTTTATCAATAGATTGAACAGCATTTTGCACGGTTCGTTGGGCTCCTTTCAGTGTGTGCATGTGTGTGTGTGTGTGCGCGTGTTGTCTCTTTTGCATGCCAATCAGTGTGTACACATGCATTTATTTATTTATTGGCTTTTCAAGTGCCCTTTGCTTGATTTGTGGCCAATAATTTCATATCATTTTTAGCATTTTGGTAAAACTTTTTGAGTAGATCTTTTCTTAACTTCATATCATTCAAACTTTTACGAGTGGCAAAGTTTTTACAGTTTTAAATTTAAGCAGGCTTCTGGAAATACGTTTATCCCAACCTAAGATATAAAAATTCTTCAGCTAGCCAAATATTTTGCGATTATTTTCGGTTTATTTTGCGGTTATTTTCGGTTTATCTTGCGATTATTTTCGGCTAGAAGCTTAATTTTTAGAAGATGCTATAAATTCTTGAAATATTACTTAAATGACCTCAAGAAAATGTTTTATCATATAATAAAATATTACATTTTCTCTTCTCTTAAAAACTAGTTATAGTACCATAGACTAGCTAATATACATTCTACATTCTGATTTGAGAAAAAATAATATTATCTTAGTTTTCTTTACTTTTTTCAAAGCTAATAAAAGCATTTTAATCGACTTATTCGGAAATGTTTTGTGTCCTAGTTTAAAGTAATAATCAGCTGTATATTATTTCTAATTGAGAACCTCAAGATTTCGAACTATTTTGCTAATAAATAAACTCAGAAAATATTTATTCAGGAAATATTTGTAATAATTGCAACGGAATAATTTCAATATTAATAATTATAACAATAATAATAAAAATAATAATAATAATAATGATAATGATATGAATAATAATAATAATAATAATTGCTGGATCTTCGCTTGATCAATGTGTTTCGTATTTCTTGTGCATTATTTCAAACTAAATCTTATAAAAGAATTATATATTATGAAAGTTTCCCTTCTACGCTCTTTTGAGTTCCGTCGCACTTTCATTAGTCTAATACTAATAAAATAAATAATAAGAAAGAAATTGGACTGAGGGAAAACGATAGGAATGTTTAGGTAAACAGGACATCTATATAATGCCGAGAAGAAAGAAAATATGTTAAATGAACAGAAATCTTGAGAAATTCAAAAACTAAAAAGTTGCCTATTTTCAATTCTGTTTTGATAATGAACACAATTTAAAATCTAGACACTATTCAAATCAGTATTAATCCATTTCTAATATTAATTAACACTCACCTTGCGATTGTGTGGAGCTGTGCGAGCCCCACGACGATTTGTACGAGGAATCTGCAACAGAAGAGAAAAAAAAAGGGAAAAATCAGTAAAAGAAGTTTTAAAGTTGCACGAAAAACGTGAAGAAAAAATAGGGAAATGTCAGGAATAGAAATTGGAATAGAAAATTGTACTTGACTTAGACTAGCAAAGTTCAGTTGGGTTTGTTTGCGTAAATATAAATATAGATAGATATTTATATATGTATATTATTGATTTATTTACTTGGATTCCATGTGGGATTGCCCATCACCGTTGGCCGGCTGGATTCACACATTGCCCACTCACCTGCGAAGAGCATTGAGAAATTGCTAAAGCTGCCCGTGGAGCGTGACAAATAATCAGCGGATGATTTAATGTCGAGCATTGTGGTGGCAGCGACGGCAACCGCCGGCGGTGCTCCTGCTGCTCTTCCGGCTGCTACAGTTGCTCCTGGTCAGAGCAATATGCCACGACGGAAACAAGGACACACACGTAGCCAAATTTAGGCGAGTCTTTCAAGTGTTTGTTTCGCCAATTTCAAATTGAATTTATTTGTTTGGAAAAAAGTCAACGACGCGCCGGAAAACGGAACGGAACGGGAAAAGTGACGATCGGAACCGGTTACCGTTACCGGACACCTCCACTTCCGGGCTGAGCTAGCCAAATGCACTTTGATTTTAGAAACCGACTGCACGCGCCCGCGTCTCTCTGTTTGAGTGTGTGTCTGTGTGTGTGTGTGTGTGTTGATTTATATATGTGTCAATCTGTGACTTCTAAATCGCGTATACGCAGCGTAAATCACTTGCAAAGATGCTTTCGGTGAGAGCCGGATTGCGTCCGATCTGTGGCACGGCAGCGTAACAATTGATTTCATTCCGTCGTCAAATCGCGCATATCCTGGCCCAGCTACCGGGCCAGTGCCCAAAAAAAAAAAAAAAAAAAACAAAAAACAACCCCACGCAGCAGAAGGGCGCAGGCTCAGCCAGTCACAATGTGGGGGTGGGCGGTTCGGGCTGGTTGGGTGGTTGCTGCTGCTGCTGCTTTGTGTATCTATCTGTCTGGCTGTGAGTGTGCGTGTGTAGCAGTGTGTGTGTGTGTGTGCGTGTTGCTGGCTCTGTTTGACGACGACGTCGCTGCTGTTGTCCTTTATGCGCGCCAGGATATACTTAGGTTATAATCCACACCAGCAAGGCAGCCACCCCTTTTCCGTTGAAACACCAATCAGCGTTGAGACAAGGTGTGGCCTAGCTTTGCACACACATACACGCGCATACTCGCACACACACACACACACATTCTGTTACACACACATACAGTCGCACGATTAAGCGCAAGCTTTTTGAAAATGGCTTTGACAAAACAATTATTTGCTGGCGGCTATTTTTAGAACCTTTTCTATCGATCATTTTGCTCTCTTAATCAACTCGCTCGCTCGCTCTCTCTCACTTTCGTTCTCGCTCTCTCTCGCTCTCTCTCTCTCTCAGCTCGCACGTCCTTTCTCGTTCTCTATTTGTAGGAGTTTACCGTTTCCACTTGAAATCCAGCCGCAGCTTTTCGTTCAAATTTTCTGTGCTTGTAGGCAGCCACACTTGACGCTCTCTGCCGTTGCCTCTCTCTCTCGCGCTCGCACGCTCACACCGCTTGTGCTATTGCTGTCTCGCTCGTGCACTGTGTGTGTAGGCACTCGTTGCGCTGGCGACGTCGTCGTTGGCAGCGACTGCACTGCGCTGTGGCGTTGCCTTTTTAGTGGGTGACACGAAGCAACAAGGACGGATGTATTATCCACTTCCTTTTTCCTTCCACCAAACACAAGGATATTACCGTTTCGTCGTTCGCCCACATTGCGACTACACCCACATCAAGTTGGCGCTGCGCGTTGCACAAATTCAAGTGGTGGGGGGCATGCGGCAGGCATGTACTATATGCATGTGCGTGTCTGTGTGTGTGTGTGTGGGGGTTACGGGGTAAACACCTGAAAACAATGGCTTGATGGCCATTCAAGCTGCTTGTTGCGATGCCAGAATTGTGGCTCAAATCGACAATTGTTGTTGCCGCGCGCTGATTGCAAAGCCTGCGCCACACGTTGACGTCGCTCTCAACTGTCGCTGTCGGCGCCGACGTCGACGTCAACGTCGACAGCGGCGTCGCTTCAAGCTGCTCAAGTGCAATTTCTCTTGTCGCGCTGCTAAAGTCAGCTGCAAGCTATGCAAAATAACTGATACAGATACAGAGACACACACACACACACACACACATACACATACACACCAACACCCAGACACACACATGCACATTGCCCCTTGGCTGGCTTAATTAATTTTCGAGATCATTGAAATTGTTTTTTATTTTTTTTATTTGCTCCGCTCCAAAACTCATTTCAGCCTTTGGCTAATAAAAGCCCTATGTGCCCTATGTATGTGTGAGCATGTGTGTGTGTGTGTGTGTGGGTGGCTAATTCACAGGCGTTAACATACAAATTGCAGCTGCTGAGCAACATGCATGTGCCCAGCAATAGCTTTTAATAGTTTTTTTGTTGCCGCTAAAAACAAATTTCGCTTTTCGCAAAAAAAGTTGGCAACTCAAGGCAATGTGTGTGTGTGTGTGTGTGAATGCGAGTTTCTGTGTATTTGTGTGTGTGTGTGTGCGCTCTGCCTTGCTTTGACAAGCAGTTATTTAATAAAAGTTATCTGGAGGACGGCTTCAACTTTGGCTTGATGGCAGCCATTTAAAATCTCATATGCACTCGGAACTGCGTGGGTCGCTATTGAAGTAAAGCAAATTAATTAAGAATTCGATATTTAATAGAAAACTAAATTTAACCACAGCTTGCAAAACCTGTCTAAAGGCAGATGGACTGTAGTATAAGACAGGCATATAAGTGTTTGGCGATTCTCCAGTTTGTGATGTAGAGCAAACATGGAGAAATAACTTGTTTAAATGGAAATGGTAAATAATTAAAGTCATTAAATGTTCAAAAAAATCCAGACATTTTGTGACAAATGCCAAAAATTTGATATAGCAATCAGTTGTTATTTAATATCTACAAAAATACTTGAGTCCTTTACTTTAAGCAACATTTTAAAAGTTTTCAAGGAAAAATTTAGAGCGTTTCCAAACTGTTTTCGCATATATTTAAAGAAATATTTATTTATATCATTTATATCAGTAGGAACTCGTCGTCTATTCAGGATTATGTGTAACTTCAGAATGTCAAAGCGATCGTTAGACGATTTCCTCAGCAAGAATATTAGTACTTGGAAAATCTTAAAGAAAATCTGCTCCCTTAACATAATTTTACATATACTCTCTCTTTCGCTGAAGGAAAAGGTAGTATATTGGTTAGCTGATTGCAGCTTCGGACATTGGTCCAAAGAAGTGTTCTCGTTGGCTCAGTTCACGGCTTGAGCCAGCTTCACAGATTCTAGAAACGTTTTGATTCGGTTTCCAGTATTATATGAGTATGTAAGCTCAGACTCAAACCCGACTCTTGTCCAAAACTGGTTTGCAGCCTCGATTATGGCACTTAATAAGCGTCCCTCGTAACTAAATACGTGTGTGTGTGTGTGTGTGTGTTTGTGGAAACCCTTGCTAATGGAATCTAAAATGGCTAAATAGCAATTTACTGTTCTTGGCTTTCTGGCAGCCAAAGGCAAAGGGCTCTGAAGGGCAGAGTTTGCTTGGGGAGAAAACTAAGTTCACTTGGCTCAAATGTTTGCCGCGTTGCCGCGGCGCTGTGTGCGCGTGTGTGTGTGTGTGTGTGTGTGTTGGTTGTGCGAAATTTAGTTGGTATTTTAATTGCATTCATTATGTAATTACATTTTCACGCTTGTGGCAAAACTTTAAATTAATTTCTTTTGTGGCGCTGTTTCCGCCATTTTGCATGCGACCCCCCCTCCACCCTCCTTAGACCCTCAATCAGGCCCGCCCCTGCGCCTACCACATGCGGCATTTCCGTGGTGGGCGAGCTATTTAAGCCGCGGTTGCTAAGACCCTGACGCTGCCACGCCCACACTTGAGCCGAACTGCGAAATGCGTCATCTTAGCGCGGACAGCAACCCACACCCACACACCCCAAACACAAACCCCAACACCAGGCCCAATGCATCAAGGTTCGTGTTCCATTTGTATGTGTGCAGCCAGAGAAGTCAACGAAGCGTCAAGACAAACATGACACGAATGTTGGAGAGAGTTGGGTGCCGAGTGTTGGGAAGGGGGTGGAGTGCGGGCTGACAGGGAGCATATTGTCAGTGTTGGGCAACCACCAACATTTGCAGTTAATAAGAAACGCAATCAACGCTGCGATTTGTTTTCTCAAGCTCAATAAAGTAAAGTTGGGAGTGTGAGAGAGAGAGAGAGAAGAATACGTGTGTGTGTGTGTGGGAGGGAGCAAGCATGCTGCTAATATTACGCGCGCCTGTGTCTATGCAACAAAAACAAACTGCCTACAATAACAATAGCAGCAAAAGCAAAAAGGCAACAACAACAACAAGAACGAGGAGCTGGGCCCGCACACGTGGCCATTAATGACGTATGAATGATATAACACGCGACGGCACGTGGCCAACTGGCCGACTGCCTGCCAGCGGCATGACAGGACGCATTCTGCAGCTGGGCCGGGCTGGACAGGACAACTCCTGGAGTGATTGCTCCTTTACTTGGCACCCGTTGGCGGCCCTTTAATACCCGCGCCCGCTTTGCACGAGCGACCCGTCGGATTGCTCATTTCGCCTGCAGCAAGAGATTTTTATGCGAGCTGTGTTTTTTTTTTCTTCCTCTCCTGCTTGTTGCTGGCCAGAAATGCGTATTGTTATAATAGGTAACATAGAGGGTTATAAACTAACATGGGCACGTTGCATAAAAAATACCGATAATTCAAAATGTTGGTCTTAAAACGGTAAAAAGAAAATGAAGGTCTAGAACATTGATGACACAATTGCGAGAGATCTTCCATATTCGATAAATATATATCGATTTTGTGGAGAAGGTAAAAGTCATCGATAGCTTGAAGTAACTTGAAAGTTAACTTCGTATGG